GTTTTTGAATACAAAGAATACGGGTTTAAATTGAAATCATAAAATGATTTGCTTTTTTTTGTATGTCGATTTTGTTTTTTAGTTTAAAAAAACAACTTTTTAAAAAAAAGGGTAAAAGGTCAGTTTTTTTAAAAACAATAGAGAATACAAATTCAATTTTATTTAAAAAAAAACGGTTATTTTTGAAATGTTTTTTATTTTAAAAAAACGATTCCCGGGGCTCCTTTTGGTAAGACAAAATAAATTTAATTCAATAAATAAAAAAATATCATTTTGGGTTTTCATTAAAAATTTTCCAAAAATTTTTCATCCGGGGATAATTCTAAAATAAAGTAAAAAATATATTTTTTAAAACCTTTTAAAAGGTCAAATAAAAAATTTCCCTTTTTAAAAATCATTTGAAATTTTTTAGTCAATCTTTAAAAAAACCGAGATTCAACCCCAAAAAATTTTAAAAACATTTCATTTTTATTATTCCTTGTAAAAATCCATATGTAAATTCATGTATACTGTATATGTGTAAGTCCAACATTTTGTGTAACTGGTATATTTTGTGTATATCATTGTGTTCATGTACATAATTGGTCATATTTCAAAACACGAAAATTTCATGCTACGGACATTTAATTTGTTATTCAAGAGGCTACGAACATAGAGGCTACCTATAGGTTTCTGCAAGTAAGAAAAAGATAATTGCTAAAACATTAATATTGCATATTTCTAGCTCAAAAATACATTATTTCTAATTTTCCGATAGTTAACATGATATTTGATAGTAAAAGTAGTAATTTAAGTAAGATATAAGCCTCAAACTGACCAATAAGTAAAATATTGAATTCCCTTCGGCGCTACGCGCCTCATGAAATTTAATATTTTACATATTGGACAGTTTTCGGCTTATATCTACTACTTATGTACATGAACAACACGATGATATACACAAAATAAACCAGTTACACAAAATGTTGGATTTACACACATACAGTTACATAAATTTGTACAAGAAATTGTAAAAAATAAAAGTTTTCAAATTTGTGTAAAATCTTGGATATTTTGAATGCTTGACTGAGATGACTTTATGGATTCTTATTTTCTCTATTTTATTACTTTTATGAAGGATTTTTACTGACCATTAAGTGTTAAAAATGATATGTTTATTTTTCATATCACTACAGCTATCACAGATGTAAAATGTTGTGTTAAAATGACCATTAGGGTTAATTTTGGATATTTACGCAACGAAAATGAGATTTTTCTTATTTTTGAATTGGTATTTGTCATACCATAGGGGTCTGGAATCGTTTATATAAGTCAAACATATATGTAATCAAATATAACAGCTTTTGTTTTGAAAAGATGAATTTATTTTCTCTATAATTTCATCTATCTGAAAAGCTGACCATTACACTTATTTGAAAAGTTGACCTTACTGAAACAGTACGTATATACAATGAATCAAATCAAGTATAATTGTCAATTAAAATACATGTAAAAAGAAAAAACGGACAATAGGCAAGAATTACCACTACGGAAGCGTAAACGGTAATATATAATTTTAAGAGCTTGGAGATCGAAAACCAGTAGGCTTGAAAATAGAATTCGTGAAATGAGCAAAGAAATCATCGACAGATAACAATTATTGTGCTTTTAGTAAAATTCTGTAAAAAACGTAACGGGCAAAGGAAGAACGTTGCATTACTCGTGTTAACTTACACTTATTTAATCTTTTATTCTTTCTTTAATTTTGATGATTTTCCATAAAATCCTGTGGTCATTGAAGCTTCTTTCACCTGTTCATATTAATGTGTTACACAATTAATATTGGACTTACACGTTAATATTGGACACCTTCCTGTACTGTATTAAAAATACAGTACGCTCAGAACAAAGGAATGACGTCACATAATTTAAAGTTATATATAACTATACTGTAATTATTGATAGTTAAATAACGATATCAACATACAATTAAGCAAGACGCACACAGCAGACAGCATAATGTGCATGTAAGAAAGCAAGATGTAAAAGTCAGAATGCAAGATGTACAAGTTAGAAAGCACGATGTAACGTAAGACAGCAAGATGTAATTTTTGCATTAATACCCTTCCATACTTAACAAATTTCTTGTTGCTTATATTTTACCCCAATCGTAACAACTCGGCAATCTCCGTCAAGTTCGGCGAATTCTTGAAGTCGCCCGAGGTGTTCCGATTAGCTTTTATAGTCTTGCATTACTTCCCTTTAATTGTAAAACGCCGTTTGTACATATTCGCAAATTGAAAGATAAATAGCTTTTAATAGCGTTTTATATTTATATTAAAGCATTAATGACGGCTTGGTACCAAAAAACAATCAGAGGGGTGTTATTAGATATAACTGGAGTGTTATATGACAGTGGACCTGATGGAGGAGTTGCAATTGAAGGATCTATCGATGCTGTGAACAGGTGAAAAGGTTACAACATGTACAAAAACAGCGGTGCATAGAAAAACCGGAAAGCACCGGATAGCACCGAAATACCGGAAAGCACTCAAATTTCTCATAAAAACATATGAAAACGTTAATTAATCGGTTTGAAAGTGTTACCAATCGATTTATTAGATTAAAATCTTTCAGACAAGTCATTTCTATATTTATATATTGATAATTATTACGAGTATTTAGGAAAATAGATATATCGAGTGCTTTCCGGTCCTGTTAAGATACATGTACATTATCGGATAGCAATATTGTTTATCAAACTTATACATGAAAACTTTATTTTATTGGTTTGAAAGTGTTACCAATCGATTTATTAGATCAAAATCTTACAGACAAGTCATTTTTATAAAAACATATTGATAATTTTTACGATTATTTAGGAAAATAGATATATCGTGTGCTTTCCGGTCCTGCTAAGGTACATGTACATTACCGGATAGCAATATTGAATATCAAAGTAATACATGAAAACTTTATTTTATTGGTTTGAAAGTGTTACCAATTGATTAATTAGATCAAAATCTTTCAGAAAACATGTTTTTATAAATATATAATGATAATTATTACGAGTATTTAGGAAAACTGATATATCGAGTGCTTTCCGGTCCTGCTAAGATACATGTACATTACCGGATAGCAATATTGTTTATCCAATTAATACATGAAAACTTTATTTTATTGGTTTGAAAGTGTTACCAATCTATTTAGACAACTTAGTAGTTGGAGATCTGTATATCATGACGTTTTTATAAATATTTTATGTTTCATTTCGCGATTTTCAAAGTTGTTACAAAGTTGTATTGATTGCTTTCCGGTAATGCTAAAGTACATATACTTTACCGAATAGCACTCCAATATTTATATAAATCACACTAATCCTTCATATTAATTATGTGAAAGTGTTATAAATTGAATAATTAAGTTGAACTTATTTCATTTAAAAATATTATGATTAGTTACACGATTTTTCAATCTTGCTCATACCATAGATCAATGTATCATATTTCTAATATTTTATAGGTTGTGTGAAGGACAGAAAGAGGATGTGTAAAAAGCACCAATAAGTTATTCAAAGCATCGAACCATATTTTTTATTATTATATTTTTATATCATGTAAAATAAAGAAAAACTTATAAATTTTCGTTCAGTTATGTCTTTATTTTTACCATACTATGTGTACCGAAAAGCAATGTGGTCATCAGTGGAGGACAGTAGTTGTTATATTGTTTATCACACAGGCTTATCCTTGCTGATTAAAGACCTTGTATATTGTAGCACAAAAAGGTGATGATTTAATCAATTTGTACACAATTATGATAATTGAGAGTACCGACCTGCACATCAAAGTTGCTTTATTAGACACTGTCCTTTACATGCACATTAAATTAGACAATTAGAAATTGCAATTAACTACACACTCTTTTGATATAAAAATTAATTTTGTTTAATGAAGATTATTACGGCACTCATGAAAAGAAATGTTTGTAACGGATATATATGGAATCTCTTAGAACTTTATATCCAGGTGCTATTAAAATTTACTCTTATTTGAATAAAATGGTATATAAACCTCAACAACATTAATCCATTACCATAATTTTTATTTAAATGCTAGTAGTGCTATTAAATCTAAATTGGAATATCTCTTAAATAAAATATCAAAAATCATGACGGAGTATCCGTGCATTGTGTGTACATTAGAATGTGTTGATAAATAATAATGAGATAGTTATTTGTTGATTTTGTTTTTAAAACATCACTGTTTGTAAATACAATTAAATTATAAGTTTAAATGACTTTTCAATATCATATATAATACCTCAAATAATCAATCAGTTAAATACATCAAGTTATTGTGTATTATTAACACCTCTTTACATGTGATAATTAAATCAGCGCGTGTCCGTTCAATCAGCGTGTGCCCGTGAAATAAACGAGGCGTGAAGTGTACCTTGATTGATTTCAATATCATACTTATTTTTCAATTATGTATGTATATATGTTTGCTAAGTTCTGTTTTATATCTGTTTATTTTGTTCTTAGTAATTAGTTTCGTTTATTTTTATTCATTGCACTGTTTATTGTCAAAAATAAAAAAAAACATCACTGAAACAATTATTGTTCTTCTCTTTCAAACCAATAAAATAAAGTTTTCATGTATTACTTTGATATTCAATATTGCTATCCGGTAATGTACATGTACCTTAGCAGGACCGGAAAGCACACGATATATCTATTTTCCTGAATATTCGTAAAAATTATCAATATATTTTTTTAAAAATGACTTGTCTGTTAGATTTTGATCTAATAAATCGATTGGTAACACTTTCAAACCAATAAAATAAAGTTTTCATGTATAACTTGGATAAACAATATTGCTATCAGGTAATGTACATGTATCTTAACAGGACCGGAAAGCACTCGATATATCTATTTTCCTAAATACTCGTAATAATTATCAATATATAAAAATAAAAATGACTTGTCTGAAAGATTTTAATCTAATAAATCGATTGGTAACACTTTCAAACCGATTAATTAACGTTTTCATATGTTTTTATGAGAAATTTGAGTGCTTTCCGGTTTTTCGGTGCTATCCGGTGCTTTCCGGTTTTTCTATGCACCCCAAAAACAGTGAAAAATACCACAGACACTGGCATTATCCACAGACACTTGGGGTTATGTGCGTGGCTCCCCTTCTTGATCCGCACTTGTATACACCATGCCTATTTTTATCGTGCAAACCATACGTCAAAATATTTTTGCATATTAATTTATTACGACCTGGGCACATGTCTTGAACATAAAACTTGTTTTCCGCTATTATAACCACGTTTAAAAAAGTCCCAAAAATATCATAATCTCATAAAGATAACAAAGTACGCTTCCCAATGATGTGAGACAACTGGAATGAATTTCGGCACTGTTTTGCGCTTTCATTTTCATGCCGAGAACCAAAACCTCGCAGCGGCTACTTCCCCTAATCAGTACAGAAACCAAATCAAGAAGACTGACGGAAAGGGCCGAGTAGTTGCGATTGAATTTCTTTTTCCAAGCGATTTTCCCGCTGTTATTTACGTGAAACATTCTAGTCTTCATGAATTAGTAAAGAAGCATGTTACACAGTTAGGAAAATGTAATTGTGCAAAGCTTGGAAGAATGGTACGATCTGATAAAAACATGCATTTATTTATTAAAGGAATATATGCATAGACTGATTTACATCAGAAATAAATGGCATGTGATAACATAAATACCAGCAGACATTTTCACAAAAAATCTTACTACAATTTTTTATCTTAAGAGAATTCCTACGATAAATCTCCTTTTCACAAAAAATCGTAAGAAAATCTTAAGTGCAAAATCTGTCATAACTTTATGATAGGTCTTCCCCGTTTGTAAGTGTAATTTTTTCTCACTGAAGGGTAATTTAAGGGTAAAATATAGAGGATATTTGTTTGTTTTGCATGTAAGATTGAATATAATTTCACTGAGTGAAAAACAGATGCAATATTTTCACGAGTGGCGTAGCCACGAGTGAAAACATTATAGCTGGTGTTCACGAATGAAATATATTTCAATCTTATATGTAAAACAAAAAATTTTCTTTTTATTTCATGCTTTTTCAGTGATTTTAAGTATTTTTTACTGATTTTTCTGTGTAACGTTGCGCGTTCTCCCTTTTGACGTCATCACATCATGACGTCACATCATCAATTTTGAAATATAGTTCTTTTAAATTCCTCTAACTTTGTTACGTTTTTAACATGATGCATGGTGACACCGACTTTCTTTTCCTAAAGAAGCAAAATTTACGCAAGACGGCATTTATTTCTGCCCGTTATTCCATTTAGTTCTGATTTTCTTTTCATCCGCTATCAGATATAGTCCGGCTACAGTGAAAATTATATTTTATAAATTTCACTTGTGGTTTATCAGAATATAATCATCTGATATATTACAATAAAACTGGAAAGCATGAAATAAATCTTGTATCTGTTACCTAAACTGTCGTTGACGTCAAACCACTTGCCTCTCACCGCTGTGGGTTCGAATCCCGACAGGGACATGCGAGGAAGCTATCCAGCTAGCTTACGGAACGTCGGTGGTTCTACTCAGGTGACCGTTTGTGCCTGAAATAATGCACTGAAGGGCACCTGAGGACTTCCTCCACCAGTAAAGCTGGAACGTCGCAATATGACCTATACTGTGTCGATGTGACGTAAAACCCCAAAAAACAAACTTACCTAAACTGAATAAAAAACAAACAAAAAGTTGGAGGACAAATATATATTAAATTATTTTTCAACATAAACATTTGTGATGTCATGACTTGATGACGTCACGATTGAGAGGGCTATGAATAGTTTAAATGTGAACTATACTGTAGTATTATTGAAAACTAATAATTTGTACATTTGGTGAGTTCGATTTCATTGCCAGCGTGTACTAGTGGTACCTTTTTATTTATAAATAACATAGTAGACCTTCTTTCTGAATCTTTTAGATATTTATAATTATCTTCAATTAAGATATAAATTATATCAGTTTGAATCATTTTTTGTTCTTATTGAAATTTCATTGTGTTCAATAGATATTTCAAGCTCTTTATTACTTGATTTTAAAACCGGAATTAAAATATAGAGCATGCACATCAATATCAAATGAACGTTGCAAGGGATTTTTTTATCGTAAGATTTATCGTAAGTGAATTTTTTATCTTAAGATAAAATTTAAACTTACAAGTGGCTTTGTGAAAATGACTTAAGATTTAACTCACGATTATCGTAAGTCAAAAACTTAAGATAAATCGTAAGATTTTTTATGAAAATGTCTGCTGAAATATATGTAGGTCAGTTGTTTTTACATTTCGAAGCTTGGTATCTTCAAGAAATTGAAACGTTGGTAAAAAATTGACTGTTTAACTTTTAAAACGTAATGAAATTCTATGTAAACTTGTTCACGTGTTAGTCACTTAACCGTCTTATACTAATATAAGCACAAATTTAAAACTAATTCTTGTAATAAACAATACTTTTAGTTTTTAATATTCAGGGGCGGAGAAGGGCGGGGTCCATACTCCAAGTGTCTGTGGCATAATCTGGTCATCGTCCCCCAGGGGACAATAAGTTTTTAAAAAAAAAATTATTTTTCATTGTCAGAGCGACTTCAATGACAGATTACGTCGGTATCATGTAAACGCTCGAAATGTTTATTTCTATAATGCTCGCACATTATCGCTGACAAAACTATAAAACATATCTCCATTTCATATGAAATTTTAATTTACCATCTTAAAACATTTTGATACCTGTTATAAACTTATATATTATAACATTTTAAATGCTGTGGGCAACGTCCCTGGGGACGAAGACCGGATTATATATATACATGTACAGCGGAGATATGAAATATTTGATCATTTCTTTTGCCTCGTAAAGGGAAATTTTCCCGGGAAGAGGGTTTTCTTGAGGGGTTCTTTTATTTTATAAAATGGGGCTTGGTTGTTTTGGGGAAAGTATCTTAATGACTTTTTCAAACAAATATATGTTTTTATATTCATTTTCATTACTTGAAAGTGCTGTGGGCAACGTCCCCGGGGACAAAGACTGGATTATATATATACAGCCGCGATATGAAATATTCGATCATTTCTTTTGCCTTGCATTATGTAATCTTTACGGAATGAACTGAATTTAAATTATCATTTTGCATTCATTCCGTGAAATATCAAATATAGAAGCAAATTTATCATAAAATTGTTGTAATATTTACGGAATGAACTGAATTGGGAACTTATCGTTTTGCATTAATTCCGTTAAATTTAATAAATTGATCTTAAATTTAACAATCTGATGTGATCTTTACAGAATGAACTAAATTTGAAGTATCATTTTTCATTCATTCTGTAAAATTAAATATTGAATAACAATCTATGGCGAATCTATGGCGATCTTTACAGAATTAATGAACTGAATTTTAAGTATCGTTTTGCATTCATTCCGTAAAACTAAATATATTAAACTTAGATTTATTTGCACACGGATGTGATATTTACGGAATGAACCGAATTTGAATTATCGTTTTCCAGTCCATAAAATATTAGAAATGGAACCTTATTGATCAACCATTTGATATGTTCTTTACTTGGGGACGTATCGTTTTGCATTCATTCCGTAAAACTTTATATATGTAACCAATTTTATTAATAATCTGATGTGTTAGTATGAACACACCCAAGTGTGTCGGACCCCTGTGAAAAATACAACTTACAAAGTTACTACATTTTTGTTTTCATTAAGAAATGTTTTATTCCTATTTTTAGCTCACCTGAGCACAAAGTGCTCAAGGGTGAGCTTTTGTCATCACTCTGCGTCCGTCGTGCGTCCTTCAAAAAACGGCGTCAAACTTTTCAAACAACATCTCCTCCTAAACCACATGGCCAATTGCAACCAAACTTTACAGAAATGATCCTTAGGTGGACCCCTTTCAATGTTGTTCAAAAATTTAAATTCCATTAAAAAATAGGAAAAAATTAAAAAAATCTTCTTTAAAAAAACCCTAAGAGCTAGAGCTTTGATATTTGGCATGAAACATTTTCTAATGAGTGTCTACCAAGTTTGTTCAAATCAAACCCTGGGGTCAAAATTGGCCCCGCCCCAGGGGGTCATTGATTTTCCCTAGATATGCATATAGTAAAAACTTAAAAAATCTTCTTTTAAAGAACTCAAAGAGCTAGAGCTAAGATATTTAGATTGAAACATGTTCTAATGGGTGTTTACCAAGTTTGTTCAAATAAAAGCCCTGGGGTCAAAATTGGCCCCGCCCCAGGGGGTCATTGATTTTCCTTATATGTGTATAGCAAAAACTTAAAAAATCTTCTTTGAAAAAACCCAAATAGCTGGAGTTGAGATATTAAGCATGAAACATGTTCTAATAGGTGTCTACCAAGTTTGTTCAATTAAAAGCCCTGGGGTCAAAATTGGCCCCGCCCCGGGGGTCATTGATTTTCGTTATATGTGTAAAGCAAAAACTTAAAAAATCTTCTTTGAAAAAAACCAAATAGCTGGAGTTTAGATATTAAGCATGAAACATCTTCTAGTGAGTGTCTACAAAGTTTGTTCAAATAAAAGCCCTGGGGTCAAAATTGGCCCCGCCCCGGGGGTCATTGATTTTCCTGATATGTGTATAGCAAGAACTTAAAAATCTCTTTGAAAAAACCCAAATAGCTAGAGTTTAGATATTTAGCATGAAACATCTTCTAGTTAGTGTCTACCAAGTTTGTTCAAATAAAAGCCCTTGGGCCAAAATTGGCCCTGCCCCAGGGGGTCTTTGATTTTCCCTATATGCATAATTTATTTGTAAAAACTTATAAAATCTTCTTTTAAAGAACCCAAAGAGCTAGAGCTAAGATATTTAGTATGAAACATGTTCTAATGGGTGTTTACCAAGTTTGTTCAAATAAAAGCCCTGGGGTCAAAATTGGCCCCGCCCCAGGTGGTCATTGATTTTCCTTATATGTGTATAGCAAAAACTTAAAAAATCTTCTTTGAAAAAACCCAAATAGCTGGAGTTGAGATATTAAGCATGAAACATCTTCTAGTGAGTGTCTACCAAGTTTGTTCAAATAAAAGCCCTGGGGTCAAAATTGGCCACGCCCAAGGGGGTCTTTGATTTTCCCTATATGCATATAGTAAAAAAATTAAAAAATCTACTTTTAAAGAACCCAAAGAGCTAGAGCTAAGATATTTAGCATGAAACATGTTCTAATGAGTGTCTACTAAGTTTGTTCAAATGAAAGCCCTAGGGTCAAAATTGGCCCCGCCCCAGGGGGTCTTTGATTTTCCCTATATGCATGTAGTAAAAACTTAAAAAATCTTCTTTTAAAGAACTCAAAGAGCTTGAGCTAAGATATTTAGCATGAAACATCTTCTAATGAGTGTCTACCAAGTTTGTTCATATAAAAGCCTTAGGGTCAAAATTGGCCCCGCCCCGGGGGTCATTGATTTTCCTTATATGTGTATAGCAAAAATTTAAAAAATCTTTTTTGAAAAAACCCAAATAGCTGGAGTTTAGATATTTAGCATGAAACATCTTCTAGTGAGTGTCTACAAAGTTTGTTCAAATAAAAGCCCTGGGGTCAAAACTGGCCCCGCTCCGGGTGTCATTGATTTTCCTTATATGTGTAAAGCAAAAACTTAAAAATCTTCTTTGAAAAAACCCAAATAGCTAGAGTTTAGACATTAAGCATGAAACATCTTCTAGTAAGTGTCTACAAAGTTTGTTCAAATAAAAGCCCTGGGGTCAAAACTGGCCCCGCCCCAGGGGTGTCATTGTTTTTAACTATAATTATGTGTTTAGTAAAAACTTAAAAAATCTTCTTTTAAAAAACCCAATGAGCTAGAGCTTAGATGTTTAGCATGAAATATCTTCTTATTGGTGTCTACCAAGTTTGTTAAAATAAAAGCCCCTGGATTAAAATTGGCCCTAACTGGGGGGGGGGGGGGAGTAGATCATTGTTTTTCATTATATGTGTGTAGTAAAAACTTAACATTGTGAAACATCTTCTATTGGGTGTCTTCCAAGTTTTTTTAAATAAAAGCCCTGGGGTTTAAACTGGCCCCGCTCCGGGTGCCTTTATACAGGTGAGCGACCTCAGGGCCATCATGGCCCTCTTGTTGTATTTATCTGTTTATGTGTTTCAAAATACTCTTCGATACAATCAACACTTCTCCGGCATAACCTTACGCTTCACCCGAAGCAGCCTAATCAAACATTTTCAGACACTGAATTATTGATATACATTTTTGAAATTTCAATGTGTATCCAGACCCCAATAAATAATGTTCTGCATTAGACGTTGCATATCTTCACTAAAGGTGTCTAAATGCTGCTTTACTGCATCCTCTCTATGGCATAGGTGTCTGGAACATGGTAATTTAAGTATTTCTTCATGTTCTTCTAGAACTATTTTTGTACCTAGCAAGCTTGAGACTTTTTGGTACTTTTTTGCTAATTTTGATTTCTTTTGGAAGGAACTGGATAAGTTCTGCATTGTATAATATTTAAACTTACACAGTATTTGATGACACATTGTTGTTTAATTTATTACATGTATGTTGGAGCCATTAAAAACATTTACTAGGCAACCTATTTTTTCTAGTATAATTGATGAATAAGTTGTTGAATGACATTGAAATTCAAACTAAGAGCACCAGATGTCACAGGGTGAGAAAAATGTGCAGTTTGCCAGTAACTCAAACCTTAGTTTTTCTGAATATCTTTTGGCAGCTTTACCAGAGCTACCAAGTCACTTTTACATTTTTTTCCCTATTAATGATCAATTCTGTGTCATGACAAGTATTGTAAAGGCTTGTATCTTAAAAAAATATTTTACTTACAGATTAAAGGCCTCAGGTCTTCCAGTAAGATTTTGTACCAATGAAACCACCACCACCAGGAAAAAACTTGTGGAGAAGTTGTCAAAAGTTGGGTTTGAATTGAAAGAAACTGAGATATTTCCACCAATACCAGCTGTGTGTAAAATTCTTCAACAAAGAAGCCTGAGACCATACCTTATTGTAACTGATGGTAAAATACTTGAATATTTTTTTTTCACCCTACTGGTGTCCACAGGGTTTGTTATTTTTCCTGTCAACTCATTTGTGTAAGTTTTGGATTCCGATTCCATTTAAATTCTGCTCATATATTTAAATTAATTTTTTTTAGGGAGTTATTTTGAAGGGTCCCCAGAGCTAAGGATAGAAAAATGTCTAACATTTTTTCATTTACAAATGTTAGAAAAAAAAATTGCAAAATTGTCAATAATAGACCTGAACAAATAAGTGATCTTTACTAGAGAATGTTTGATATTAGATTTATAAATCTTATAAAGGCCTGCCCTAGTAGTACAAGTATTAGCAAATTTTAACCCTCCTGATGTCCAAGTCTACGAATGTAAGTGGATGAGTAGAAGTTGCAACCTTTACCAGACACACATTAACTAAGGAAAGATCAGGATCAGATAAACTGGATTTTATTCTCATTGTTCTATAAAACTAAAATTAATTGTAGTTTGCAAAAATTGTGGTGTACATAAATAAAATATAAAACATCGCTGATTTGCAAAGAAACAACCCTGATTCGGATAAATTTGACACAAAAAACCCCATTAAAAACATTTCTAAATTATTGGAATAAAATAAGAATCAATATAGGATCAAAGCCAATACATGTATTTGCATCAATTGTAAAATGCCCGTATCTTTAGTGTAAAATAAGAAGAAATTAATCATAAAATAATCTTTTAAAATAACAAGAAATTTATTATAAAATTTCATAATCAAGCAATTTAAAGTCCAATTTTATGAAGTTAATTATTGATTAGGATAAACAATAGAGAATATTTGAGTTTTTAAATTTGATCCTGATCTTGATCCTGATTCTTAAATCTTTGTGAAAATCATGGCTTGATAAACCAACAGATGGATCATTACTGTCCTTAAATCTTTGTGAACATGGCTTACTGTCCTTAAATCTTTGTGAACATGGCTTAATGAACCAACAGATGGATCATTACTGTCCTTAAATCTTTGTGAAAATCATGGCTTAATGAACCAACAGATGGATTATTACTGTCCTTAAATCTTTGTGAAAATCATGGCTTAATGAACCAACAGATGGATCATTACTGTCCTTAAATCTTTGTGAAAATCATGGCTTAATGAACCAACAGATGGATCATTACTGTCCTTAAATTTTTGTGAAAATTATGGCTTAATGAACCAATAGATGGATCATTACTGTCCTTAAATCTTTGTGAAAATCATGGCTTAATGAACCAACAGATGGATCATTACTGTCCTTTAATCTTTGTGAAAATCATGGCTTAATGAAACAACAGAAGGATCATTACTTGTCCTTTAAATCTTTGTGAACATGGCTTAATGAACCAACAGATGGATCATTACTGTCCTTAAATCTTTGTGAACATGGCTTAATGAACCAACAGATGGGATCATTACTGTCCTTAATCTTTGTGAAAATCATGGCTTAATGACCAACAGATGGATCATTACTGTCCTTAAATCTTTGTGAAAATCATGGCTTAATGAACCAACAGATGGATCATTACTGTCCTTAAATCTTTGTGAAAATCATGGCTTAATGAACCAACAGATGGATCATTACTGTCCTTTTAAATTTTTGTGAAAATTATGGCTTAATGAACCAATAGATGGATCATTACTGTCCTTAAATCTTTGTGTGAAAATCATGGCTTAATGAACCAACAGATGGATCATTACTGTCCTTAAATCTTTGTGAAAATCATGGCTTAATGAACCAACAGAAGGATCATTACTGTCCTTAAATCTTTGTGAACATGGCTTAATGAACCAACAGATGGATCATTACTGTCCTTAAATCTTTGTGAAAATCATGGCTTAATGAACCAACAGATGGATCATTACTGTCCTTAAATCTTTGTGAACATGGCTTAATGAACCAACAGATGGATCATTACTGTCCTTAAATCTTTGTGAAAATCATGGCTTAATGAACCAACAGATGGATCATTACTGTCCTTAAATCGTTGTGAAAATCATGGCTTAATGAACCAACAGATGGATCATTACTGTCCTTAAATCGTTGTGAAAATCATGGCTTAATGAACCAACAGATGGATGATTACTGTCCTTAAACTTTGTGAAAATCATGGCTTAATGAACCAACAGATAGAACATCATTACCAAACTTTATTGCATAGCAGACTGGCATTTCTGTGCGTTTTACCTATGCCGGAAATTTCATCTGGCATGGGGGGTGCCAGATGAGTCGTGTGCCAAACAACAACGTTATTTTAGCGCACTTTATGAATGAACCACGTTAATATGACGTCATTTTAGAAGGGAAATATGTGCTTAGGATGACATCATTTTGCCGTTGTTATTTAAGTTGTAAGTTCATACACTATTGTAAAAAGATAGTTATGGATGAAATGACTTTAATTTCCATGAACATATATATCATATTGAGGTAAACCATTTTAAATATGAAATAATATGCCAGAATTTTTTTAGATCTGTTTCTGGTTTCTCACCCAAAAAGCATGACGGTTAGATAAGTAGAAGTTTTTTTTTCTATATATAAAAATGTAAGTAAAAAAATTTTTTTTTTTATGTATACATATGGTAATGAAGAGATTTAAAAAAAAGTGGAATGGGAAACGGTCTAGGGTCTTCAGTTAGAAAAAAGGGTACTATGTAGTCAAAGCCCCTTAGTTATACAAATAAAAACATATTTCTAGTCCTTTTTCTTGAAATAAAACTGTTTTGATTTGTATTGTATATGTATAAATGTATACGATATGCACATATATTCTGGAAATAAATATGTTTAATCTAAACTCCCTAAACAGAACATAATTAATTATTATATTTTTCAGAATGTCTCCCAGACTTTGCGGCCGTTGATCAGACCAACCCAAATTGTGTTGTTATTGGAGATGCTGAGACAAACTTTTCTTATGAAAATCTTAACAGAGCATTTCAAATAATCAAATCCTTAGAAAATCCAGTGTTATTTTCAATGGGCAAAGGGTATGTAAATACATAAAATCCTTCTAAAAATAGCAAAATTAACAGGTTAATTCTGTTTGCTAAAGATTTGTTTAGTAATTCTAATTTATAAATACACATAATTTTTTATTGAACCCCTAGATTGTTTGATTTAATTTCATTTTAGGAATATGTAATCATTTTGGATTGTTTTAAAAATAACAAAATTGGAACACATAAACACTTAATAAAGCATGCCATAAACTTTATTGCTGTAAGTGCAAAACCTGTTTGCATTCTTTGGAAATTGTCAGGACATGTATTAGCAAATTTCAAGTTTACATGTAATATGTAGATGAAAAGATAAATCATGTTTGTGAAAGTTTTGTCTTGGAATATGCAATCTTTTTATTGAAGCCTTTGGTTAGATTGTATTGATCACCACAAAATGTGACCACATTTTCTCTTATATAGCACTTCATAAACTTTATAGCAAATCCAGTTCATTTTACTGTAGGCTTAAATGTTTACTTGAGGCCACACGTTTGGCTTAAAATGACAATACTGTTGCAGTTAATTCAATATAGACTTTGTCAATTACATGATATTGTGTCCATTTATTTGTATAAAGTGTATTGAACAGGGTATTATCTGAAGTTTGAGTAATGATTAAACATGGAATTGTTTTAAAATAGCAGCTACTGGTGTTTAGTTGATGAGACACATCAGCCAAGGGGTGTTAGCCGCATTATCTACCCCCTATAGGGTTAGTTCAATTAACCCCTTTAGCTGATGCGGTGCATCAACTAACCCCTTAGATCAACTCAACCCCAGTAGCTGTTCTTTTAAGTCAATTCCAGGTTTATTCATGATTTGAGCCGTGCCACGACAAAACCAACATAATGGGTTTGCAACCAGCATGGATCCAGACCAGCCTGCGCATCCGCGCAGTCTGATCAGGATCCATGCTGTTCGCTTTCAAGCCCTATAACAAGTAGAGAAACTGATAGCCAACAGCATGGATCCTGATCAAACTGCGCGGATGCGCAGGCTGGTCTGGATCCATGCTGATCGCAAACCCATTATGTTGGTTTTGTCGTGGCATGGCTCATTTCATCTTCAGATAATACCCAGTTATTGATTGTATTAAGCATACAAAGGTGTGATTCTGTGGTTCAACAAAAGATGTACTTTCGAAATTGATTGATTAAATTTTCATATAACAGCCTTAATGTTACAATATGTAACTTTATAATTATTTCAAGTAGTTTTCATCTAATAGTATCTATAATTATGACTAATACAAATGGCAATTAGTTCAACTTTAAAATTGTACTTACTATCAAACTACTATCTTACCTTAAGTTCAAGGTGTTTTTAGACTTGCTCAATGTAATATGAAAATGTGTTCCTCAACAAACAATTTCAAAGTAATTTTAATGTGATTTGGTCTAATGTGGGATTAATCATACTAATGTGACATGACTTGTTACTAATATTGGGAGAATTGTCACTGATATGGGGAGCATTGTCACTAATATGTGGGGGAGGGGAATTGTTGCAAATATGAAGAGCGGTGCATGGGTGCTCATTACTAAATGTGTGTGTGGAGAGGGGGTGGGGGAGTTTTGGTGAAGTGATTACATATTTTTGGTAAATCATCACCAGCTAGCTTACCAACATACCATGATGCCTCTATATTGTTGTTATAATGCATGCTAATGATCTTAGGTATTCATATGACTAATTTATTGAAATTGTTAAGATAGAAATCTTATTGAAAAATTAAAGGAGAAAATGAACCCATAGATTGAGAATAGTTGCTAATGATGCAGCATTGTTATGATAAATCATACAGTGTTTTTCATGTCTACTTTTAGAAAGTACTACAAGCATGGGGGACAACTGGTTTTAGATGCTGGCCCATTTATGAAGGCACTCGAGGTATAGTAGAATTAACTAAGATAAAATCCCATAATTTTTACATGAAGTTTAAACCACTTCACATAGTTAAAGCTACAACTTTAACTATAAATGGCCATATTTTTGTTTTTATGCTCCCCGAAAAATTTCGGGGGAGCATATAGTCGGCGCCTTGTCCATCTGACCGTTTGTCCATCTGTCCGTCCAGTGTCTTGTCCGGAGCATAACTTGAAAATCCTTGGAGATAATTTGTTATACTTCATACAGTGGTAGAGGGCATTGAGGAGGAGTGCTGTGTCAAAGAACCATAACTCTATTTTGCCTGGTTTTTGAATTATCTCCCCTTATAGAAAAATCTTGTCCGGGACATAACTCTAAAACTATAAGAGATATCAACATGAAACTTTGTAAGTGAATAGATCTGGATGGGTAGATGTGCAGTGCATAAAAACAATAACTCATTTTGTCCTAATTTTGGAGTTATTGCCCTTTGTTAATTTTAACACTTTAAACTTTATCTGGAACATAAATCTAAAACTATAAGAGATATCAAGATGAAACATTGTAGTTAGATAGATCTCATTGAGTAGAAGTGCAGTGCAAAAGAACCGTAACTCTGTTAAGCCTCATTTTTTAATTATCTCCTCTTTTAGATAAGAGATATCAACATGAAACTTTGTAGGTAGATATATCTCAATGGGTAGATGTGCAGTGCACAAGAATCATAACTCTGCCGTGCCTAATTCTGGAGTTATTGCCCTTTGTTTATTTTTACTTTTTGAAGTTGTCCAGGACATAACTTGGAAACCATGAGAGATATCAACAAGAAACTTTGTAGGTTGATAGATCACATTGATTAGAAGTGCAGTGCAAAGAACAGTAACTCTGTCTTGCCTAATTTTGGAATTATTGCACTTTGAACTTTTTTCAGGAACATAACTCTGAAACTACAAGAGGTGTACTTTCCTGTGTCCAAAACCTATTCGGGGAGCATCACCCGGCTCAAACCGGGCTCTAGTTGTTATAATGTTTCAATGTTTTAAATTTTCCTGTTTTGTGTACATCATTTTCCCTAAGTCTTATCCCCTAATTATTTAAAATTAGAAAAACTTTTGTTGATTGGAATTTTTTTTTATCTTTAAACATAACAAATGCAGTTCCTAGGACAGCATAACAAATACGGTTACTGTGACAGCATAACATATTTTAAGTAGGATTTCTGTGGCAGCATGACAGATATGGTTGTTGTGGCAGCCAGTCATATGTGGTTGCTGTGGCATTATGTCATTATATGGTTGTTGTGTGACATCATGTCATATGTGGTTTCTGTGGCAGCATGTCATATGTGGTTGCTGTGACATCATGTCATATGTGTTGCTTGTGACATCATGTCATATGTGGTTGCTGTGGCAGCATGTCATATGTGGTTGCTGTGGCATCATGTCATAATGTGGTTGCTGTGGCATCATGTCATATGTGGTTGCTGTGGCAGCAATGTCATATATGGTTGTTGTGACATCATGTCATATGTGGTTTCTGTGGCAGCATGTCATATGTGGTTGCTGTGGCATCATGTCATAGGTGGTTGCTGTGACATCATGTCATATGTGGTTGCTGTGACATCATGTCATATATGGTTGTTTGTGGCAGCATGTCATATGTGGTTGCTGTGGCATCAATGTCATATGTGGTTGCTGTGACATCATGTCATATATGGTTGTTGTGACATCATGTCATATGTTGTTGTGACAATCATTCATATGTTGTTGTGACATCATGTCATATGTTTGTTGTGACATCATGTCATATGTGGTTGTTGTGGCAGCATGTCATATGTGGTTGCTGTGACATCATGTCATATATGGTTGTTGTGACATCATGTCATATGTTGTTGTGACATCATGTCATATGTTGTTGTGACATCATGTCATATGTTGTTGTGACATCATGTCATATGTGGTTGTTGTGGCATCATGTCATATGTGGTTGCTGTGACATCATGTCATATATGGTGTTGTGACATCATGTCATATGTTGTTGTGACATCATGTCATATGTTGTTGTGACATCATGTCATATGTTGTTGTGACAGCATGTCATATGTTGTTGTGGCAGCATGTCATATGTTGTTGTGACATCATGTCATATGTGGTTGTTGTGACATCATGTCATATGTTGTTGTTGTGGCATCATGTCATATGTGGTTGCTGTGGCATCATGTCATATATGTTGTTGGGCAGCATGTCATATGTTGTTGTGACAGCATGTCAAATGTTGTTGTGGCAGCATGTCATATGTTGTTGTGGCATCATGTCATATGTGGTTGTTGTGACATCATGTCATATGTGGTTGTTGTGACATCATGTCATATGTGGTTTTCTGTGGCATCATGTCATATGTGGTTGTTGTGGCAGCATGTCATATGTGGTTGCTGTGGCATCATGTCATATGTGGTTGCTGTGACATCATGTCATATATGGTTGTTGTGACATCATGTCATATGTGGTTGTTGTGGCAGCATGTCATATGTGGTTGTTGTGGCAGCATGTCATATGTTGTTGTGACAGCATGTCATATGTTGTTGTGGCAGCATGTCATATGTTGTTGTGGCATCATGTCATATGTGGTTGTTGTGACATCATGTCATATGTGGTTTCTGTGGCATCATGTCATATATGGTTGTTTGTGGCAGCATGTCATATGTGGTTGCTGTGGCATCATGTCAATGTGGTTGCTGTGACATCATGTCATATATGGTTGTTGTGACATCATGTCATATGTGGTTGTTGTGGCAGCATGTCATATGTGGTTGTTGTGGCAGCATGTCATATGTTGTTGTGACAGCATGTCTTATGTGGTTGTTGTGGCAGCATGCCATATGTGGTTGTTGTGGCAGAATGTCATATGTGGTTGTTGTGGCAGCATGTCATATATGGTTGCTGTGACATCATGTCATATGTGGTTCCTGTGACATCATGTCATATGCTGTTGTTGTTGCATAATGACATATGTGGTTTCTGTGGCAGGATGTCATATGTGGTTGTTGTGGCAGCAATGTCATATGTTGTTGTGACAGCATGTCATATGTTTGTTGTGGCAGCATGTCATATGTTGTTGTGGCATCATGTCATATGTGGTTGTTGTGCATCATGTCATATGTGGTTGCTGTGGCATCATGTCATATATGTTGTTGTGGCAGCATGTCATATGTTGTTGTGACAGCATGTCATATGTTGTTGTGGCAGCATGTCATATGTTGTTGTGGCATCATGTCATATGTTGGTTGTTGTGGCAGCATGTCATATGTTGTTGTGGCATCATGTCATATATGGTTGTTGTGACATCATGTCATATGTGGTTTCTGTGGCAGCATGTCATATGTGGTTTCTGTGGCAGCATGTCATATGTGGTTGCTGTGGCATCATGTCATGTGGTTGCTGTGACATCATGTCATATGTTGTTGTTGTGGCATCATGTCATATGTGGTTGCTGTGGCAGCATGTCATATGTGGTTGTTGTGGCAGCATGTCATATGTGGTTGCTGTGGCATCATGTCATATGTTGTTGCTGTGGCAGCATGTCATATGTGGTTGCTGTGGCAGCATAATAAATTTAGTTGACTTAAGCATAACATATTTGGTTGCTACAGCAACATAACAAATGTTGTAGTTGTGAAAGCATGTCATATGTGGTTGCTGTGGCAGAATTTCTTATGTGGTTGTTGTGGCAGCATGTCATATGTCATTATTGTGGCAGCATAATGAATTAAGTTGGCTGAAGCATAACATATTTGGTTGCTTTGGCAACATAACAAATGACTTTTTTTAATGTGGTTGTTGTGGCAGCATGTCATATGTTGTTGTTATGGTGGCATGTCATGTGTGGTTTCTCTGGCAGCACGTCATTATTTTCTGATATGCCAGAATGTTATATGTGATTGTTGTGGCAGAATATCAAATATGGTTGTTGTGGCAGCATGTCATATGTTGTTATTGTTGTGGCAGCATAGTAAATTTAATTGGCTGCAGATTGCCTGATTCTGGAGTTATTGCCCTTTGTTTATTTTTACTTTTTGAAGTTGTCCTGGACATAACTCAGAAACCATAAGAGATATCAACAAGAAACTTTGTAGGTTGATATATCACATTAATTACAAGTGCAGTGCTAAGAACAGTAACTCTTCCTTTCCTAATTTTGGAATTATTGCACTTTGAACTTTTTCCACGGACATAACTCTGAAACTACAAGAGGTGTACTTTCCTGTGTCCAAAACCTATTCTGGGAGCATCACCCGGCTCAAACCGGGCTCTTGTTTTAATGTGGTTGTTGTGGCAGCATGTCATATGTTGTTGTTATGGCGGCATGTCATATGTGGTTTCTCTGGCAGCACGTCATTATTGTCTGATATGCCAGAATGTCATGTGATTGTTGAGGCAAAATGTCATATATGGTTGTTGTGGCAGCATTCCATATGTTGTTATTGTTGTTGCAGCATAGTAAATTTAATTGGCTGCAGTTGTAGCATAAATGATATGGTTGCTGTGGTAGCATGGTATTTTGTTGTTGCTGTGACAGCATTAATAATGTGGTAGCATTACAAATTTCTTGCTATTTTAGCATAAAGGCATACAGTAAAAACTCTGAAAACCGGACCCTCTGAAAACCGGAATCCTCTGAAAACCGAACTATTTTAAAAGTCCCGTATTTTCTCCCTATATGTTCATTGAAAAAAAATCCTCTGAATACCGGAACCTCTGAATTCCGAAAACCGGACGATTTTCTATGGTTTCTAATGCTAAACATGCATTAAAAATGCTCTGAAAACCGGACAGCAATTTAAAATGTCAACTTTCTGTGTATTTTAATGTAGATCTAAACATAATCTCAACAGGTGACATGTTCAAATACCAGGTAATGGTCATTTCCTTTTATCTATGCAGGTGTGAAAACACTTGTCAGTGTATGTTAATTTCTTTGTCAATTAAATTATAGCTCTTTCATCATATTTGTGTTTTTCCTCATGTAGATTTTAATTTTCAAAAATGTTTTTAATGTGTTATGATTTTTTTAATATAAAAGGTCTAAAAGAGTTCAGAAACTATTTTTAAAATGATTCCTGTTTTGCTTTAAATTTTGATCATGAAGTTATCTTTGTTTTGATATCAATTATAGGCAAAAATAGTAATACTAAATAAATACCATTAATAACATATTTCAAAGCTAATGAAAAAGATATTATGATATATTTCAGACAATGTGGTGTTTTAATTTCTGATTTTCTGAATTATATTCATGGATTTGCATAATAAAATTACTTAAGACATTTATTGCAAAAAGAACTTAAAATATGACTTAGACAAAAGGGTTGAAAAGTAAATACAAAATGATTGAACAAAGTCATTGTTCAAACACATCATAATTATCAATGAATGTATAAAACCTCTGAAAACCGGAATCCTCTGAAAACCGGACTTTTGGTCAAGTCCGCACAGGGTCCGGTTTTCAGAGTTTTTACTGTATAATGATGCAAATGAAAGGATAACTCAGTTTCCTGAAATTACTTGTTGCCAACAAATGTGATTGTAAATTTAGAATTAATACTGACAAAAATTCAAGAATAGAAGGTACAATTGGATCCTGCATGAGATTTTTCATTGAGCAAACCCCACAGCCTCTCAATAAAAAATACTTAGTGTCATCTTTGTAAGCAATTCAGGGCTGTCTTTGTGAGCTATTTAGGGCTATCATGATTAGCAATTCAGGTCCATTATTATGATCAATTCAGAACTATAACCCCCCTTGTGGCCGCGGGGTTGTCTTTAATGGTTGAGGCATAAGAATTGCAGCCATCATTTATTCCTGCATGGTCATAAGAGGCAACTAACTGGGTTCAAATAACTGGAGTCTATGCATCTCAACCTCAGCAGGTGAGGTGGTTGCTTTAAAGTTTGTAACACTCAAGGTTAGCTAAAATCATCCATTTTTGTGAGCAAGTCAGGGCAAACAATGTATCATTGTAAGCAATTAGGGACCCTCATCATGAACAATTCATGCCAATCATTAACAGCAAGTCAGGGAAATCATTGTAAGCAAGTTAAGGCCATTGTTATTAGAAAATTACAGCCAACATGATGAACAAACAATTCAGGGCAGTAATTATGAGCTATAATGTTCCATCATTGTGAGCTATTTATTGTCATTATTGTGATTAATTTTGGGCTATAATTGTGAAAGATATGGCTATCATGGTTAGCAATTTGGGACCAGCATTGTGAGTAATTAAAGGCCATTGAGAAAGTTGATAGCTGATTGCAATTCAGGGCTATCATTGTGAGCAATTTTAGGGTTGTCATCTTGAGCAACTTAGGGTTGTCCTTGTGAGCAATTCAGAGCCATTGTTTTGAGCAATTCAGAGCCATTGTTTTGGGCAGTTCAGAGCCATTGTTTTGAGCAATTTCTAGCCATCATTGTTAACATTTCCAGCTATCATTGTGAGTAATGAAGGTCCATCAATGGGTGCAAACAGGGCCAGAATTGTGTTAAATTCAGGTTAATCATAGCAAGCATTTCAGGGAAATTATTATTAACAATTCAGGGCAGTTATTGTGAGCAATTCCAGGTAATCATTGTGAACAATTCAGGCCAATCATGCTTTAATTATTTTGCTTTCAGCTATATTGTAGTATATTATGACTGTTTTTTTCTTGCTACAGTATGCTTGTGATATTGAAGCAGAAGTGGTAGGGAAACCTGCAAAAGCCTTCTTTCATACAGCTGTACAAGATATGGACATAACACCTGAAACAGTGAGTAGTGCATATTCACTAAATAATTGTTCATATCACATTAAACCAACTCCATATGTATTTTATCATTTAGATAATTTCTAAAGAATTATCCTTCTGCCACTTTATCAATTCCTGGGGAGCCTTCCAACTCATCCTTGTGTTAGGGTTGCCTTAACATTTGTGTAATGTTTTGTTTCTGACTTGTTTTTTTATAATCATATATCAGATAACTGTTCTTTAAAAAATGCCTTTGCTTTTGACTGAACCCAAATTGAGACTTAAAGCAGTATATTGTTTTGTTATAGTGTGTTATGGTTGGTGATGATATAGTTGGTGATGTTGGTGGAGCACAGAATGCTGGTCTAAGAGGTATACAAGTTAGGACAGGTAAATTCAGGTAAGAAAACAATAGTCTGTATTGTGACTGTGAGAAATTAACCAATACTCTTCAGGGTTTTTATTAATTATTATTATTCTGTTTTTTTTTAAGGACTGATGGGGTCAGTCTGTATATCTGTCTTTATGTATGTCATTTTTAACTTTTCCAATCAATAACTAAAGAAGGAGTAAGCCATGATTTATGTAACTTGTATGAATATTCCCTAATGCCAGTAGATGAAACCTACTTATTTTTGAAGTCAGTAGGTCAAAAGTCAAGGTCACCTTGGTCTTCACAAGGCTCAAAAGCTTGTTTTTCAAAAAATGATAACAGTACACTTTCGCCAAAGTCTTATGATTTTGTGTTGATGTTGGTCATTACTAGTAAATGATCCCTAATAAATTGAGAACAGTATTGTTTTTACGATGAATAGGTCAAAGGTCAATAATCACTCGTGGCCTGGGCCCCTTAAAAGCTTTTATAAACTTATATCTAGGGAACACTTTGCATACAGTTCTAAGATATGGTGCAGGGATTGGGCATGTGTAGGTGATGATCTCTATGGATTTCAAAGTCAGTAGGTCAAAGGTCAAGGACACTATGGATTTGACCACTGAAATTTTGTCTGATCAATATTTAGGGAACACTTTTGCCTACAATTATATTATTTGGTCATTATTGGGTCATAACTATTAGATGCCCACTCTTTTCTTTAAGGTTATCAGGGCAAAGGTTAAGGTCAAAGTGGCCTTAACCTGTAGAAACTTGCAGCTTTGACAACAAAAAATTAGAGAACACTTTGGCATACAATCCTGTGACATATTATTTAGGATAGTCAAGACTGCTTGATTACCCATAGCGATATTGAGGTAATTTGGTGACACATTATTTAGGTTAGTCATGACTACTTGATTACCCATAGCGATATTGAGGTAACTTGGTCAAAAGTAAGGTCATAGTTGCAATAAATGTGACTGGAGAAAAGCTGAAATTAATGAAACTTTGTAGGAACATTGTCCATGGCCTGTAGGGGACCCATATTGATTTTATGGTCATAAAATTCCAATGGTCACGCGGGAAAAATTGGGTCTTATTCATGAACATTTTAAATTATACATTATTCTTTAAATCAAAAAAAAATACTTTAAACTTTGATAACGCAATGTAAATATAAAAATTTTCAAAATGACAAAGCAAAATAAAGTAATGGAAAAATAAGTGACAAAATTTAACACATTTCTTAATTTATAATTAAATTAAATAATTTTTATTAAAATACCTTCATTTTTTTTATGACAATAAAAGAATAAACTTTTAAACTTGGCATTCTTTTTTGTACATATTGATATTATTGTTATCCACAGCTTACTCGTGTATTGACGTATATCTTTAATATTTGGAGTATTGGCTATATTCTATATACCCTTTAGCTTGATATTTGGATCAATTGACGAAACAAAAGAATTGTAATGCATTTAGAAATAGCTCTGTCTCATCACTTATATCTTTTTCGAATTTTTCCTCATAGTTAGCCAATGTTCTTAGCTTTGTCACGTTCTTTGTCACATTCATCAGTGTTATTGATACTAACAATCTTAATGTTTAACTTTCAGGCTAGAAGATGAAAACCAAAATCCTGTAGTGGAAGCCTGAATGGATTTGTAGACAATCCTTGCAACAAAGCCTGTCGAATTTAAAATTATTGCTTATTATGTCTAAATAAAAAAAAATAGCTTTACATGTACAATGTAATAATAGAAAATAATGGTGGTAATTATTTGTAAAGGGAAGTAATTTATTTATCAAGATTTTAAAAAGAAAAGTATATGAATACTCCATTTTTTTTTTGAAGGCACATTATTGCATTTTATTTTTAATTCTCTTGAAAATGCCAAGCATGTGTTTTAATAATGTTTTGGTAATTGATTTAGAGCATATTATATGTGCAACATCTAAAGAAAATAGCACTGGAAATGTTGCAGAAATGTGTCAATAATTTCATAAAGGTAGCAAAATGCAAACAAAGTAGTATTTTCACTTCCAATACAAAATACTAACTCACTATAATAATACCCATTTGCCAAAAAAGCAAAAAGAGGCAAACGTTCAACTACATGTATTTTAATTTTTGGAAATTGTAACAAGATAGATCTACCAAAAATAAGAAGTTTCTGAGTAAAACAAATGGTAGCATTTCTTTGGCTGAATATTAATTTTCTACTTTAATTATTATAATTTATGGAATGTTTTGATCATGTTGTGTCTTTTTGTATACATGTACATGTATAATGATGATTAATTGTATTTGTTGATAATTATGTAGAATATATAATTTTAACATTTGTATATCTATTATTAATGTCTTGTAAATTAAACCTCATGTGATATAATAATCATTTGATAAGTTATATATCAGTCCCAAACATAAGAAGGTTACCGTCCCCCAATATAGTGGAAGAAAGTCTTTAGAAGACATTCAAACATTTTGCAGTTTTGCTGCAGGTTTGCAGTTATGCATCAGTTGTTCCCAGCTACACCTGAACTGGCAGAATGTTTAGCAGGTGCATCAATATACCCTGCTGACTTTGAAAGCAAAGTCTCGTCAAAACATCCTTGAGAAATGTCTATGGTCCAATGAATAAACAAACCAGCTAGTAAGCCTCAGCTAAACCTTTTGCTAAAAGAATGTTCAACGTGAGCCCTACCTGTTACAAGATTCCATCTACATTACCTGAAAATCTTCAATAGCTTTGTATAATTATACTGTTCTTGCACAATTATGATTGAATTTCCACCTGCTTTGTCTGAAGTTTTTTAGGTGTAAAGTGATATTTGGAAGCTGTAAATTGTTGCACCTTACTCTGTGTCAGCGTGGTTCTTGTGACCTATTGAATACGATGTAGTTTCGTCTTGGTTTAGTGTTGTAGATTGGATATTGCTTTCAAAGCGCTGCTATATATATATTGTCTACGGGCATGACCCATTTTTTTAAACGGACAAGAAATGATGAATGTTAATCGGTTTAGAATCTTAAATAATGTATGGCTTGAAAGAATATCATTGACTGAGACGTATCAAAATCATCAAACCTGATTTGACAAATGCAAAACGTGCCGAATGTTAAATTTTCAAGACCCTTATACCCATGTTTAATGTTACATTGCCTTTTTATATTCGTGGAAAATTTGAAAACAATTTCTATCTTAAAAAGTACTACTTAAAATACTCGTTAAATTGTTAAAATAATGTTGCCGATTTATATAATAATGTTGCAGATTTGTTTATTGGCCATAAAGAATTTATTTCGCCGTGTTAAGTTAAACTATTCAGTAAAATTAATGTTGGACGGTAATTGAAAAAAGATACATACTTCACTCCTTTGGGTTGCTTCATCTTTTTTGTGTTATTTTTGACTAACTTATACTTATTTTTAGCTCGACTATTCGAAGAATAGGGAGAGCTATTGTACTTACAAAGGCGTTGGCGTCACACTTTGGTTAAGTTTTAAGTTCTTGCTTGTTGGACATTCCAAAACTACTGAAGGGAATGAGTTGAAATTTCATACAGCATAATACATGTAGCAGGTCACTGTCCAAAGCCAATAACTCTAACTTGGATTTTGACTGAATTATGGCCCTTTTTGAACTTAGAAAGTTCTTCATTATCAAGGGTTTTGTTTTACCACCTTCTGTACCGAGGCTTATTGTTTTACTTTCGAGCACGCTATTCTAGCGACAGCCTATATTTATTAAAACTCTCTGAATAAACATTGTTGCTATGGAAACAATAGGTGACATTTGGTGATATTTATTTAGACAGAATTTTGATTGGCTAAAATCATTTACATGGCATTGAGGAGAAAACAATTAAGTAGACACTAAATCTCTAGTATCCATTTGTTTGAAGGTTCATTTACAAGATTGATTTATCTGAAGTTTTACTTGTTCCAACAGCTTCATAATTTGAAAGGCAATTATTTTGTCAAGTTAGATAACCTTGCTATTCAATTCATTTTTCCTCAGTCATTTCCTTTTTTATACCTATTAATAAAAGTTATGATGCTTTGAGAACTCCTTGGTATATATTGATCACCCCTTTATGTACTTATGTTAAAGCCTGTTTGGTTTTCATACTTTGAAGACTAAATAATGTATATAGGGAAATAATAACCTGCCATGCATCTCTAACTTTTACTTAGGACAGAATATTGTCTAGCTTATATCTTTGTCAGCTGTTCCTTTTTCTGGCTCAATCTTGCAATTTTGATTGAGTGATTCGCAATTATTTCTCTTTTTTTCGCAAAAAGGTTCCAAAAGTTGTTACTGCCATTCTGATTCAGACGTATTTCATATTTTTGTTATAATTTTTAAGAGATTAACTCTGCAACTGACAGCAGAATATGAAACAAATTGAAATGTAACATGTTTATTATAAAGACGGTTAAGACATATGTTAGCTGACCTCAGTCTTTTCTGCTGAGCACAGCGTGTATGTTTTTTTTTCTGATTAGATCTATAGATTTCTATTTCCAAAAAAGTTGTCATGAATTTGTATAAGAATTAAGTACTACTGTATAAAACGCAGAAAGCAACAAGTTTGATCAAGATATCTGCAAAGAAATTTGGAAGCATAGGTGCTTTTGAAACCATACTGGCTTTGCATGATTTGAAATTGTCCATATCAAATTCTGTGAAGCCACAAATAATAGAAGAGTGACATTCCTCATTGTAAGCCTCGGCAAGATTATCCGGGGGAGTAACTCTGTTAAACTTCCAATAATTCTTAAATTCATTGCTCGAGGATTCCTTCATTTTCTCTGCAAGCTTAGATAAGTCAGCTGCAGTGAGCTTGTTAAGTCCGTAGTGTGAACTGGTCTTGTATTCTAACTCCCACATGGCGGCGCCATTTTTGTTTGCCTTTAAAAGGTCAAGGTAATATTGTCCAATTTCAAGATGGACACCTGTTGAGTCGGATAGCTGGGTTATGTGACGGGTCTGACGGAGTAACTGACGGGGCAACGAAAATAGGTACAGCTGTTCTACCTATGAAATAAATTGACACGGTTCGTAAGTGCAGAATTGTTAATCTTTTAAATACACATTAGTTGTTTTTTTTTTTAAATATTTAGACAGTTGTTGTAGATGACTGAAATTATTTTCATTAACATTAAATGGGCTTAATTAAGAATGATAATAATTGCTGAATTGTCATTTTTCTTAAGTCTCATAATGGAATGTTTAGAATCAAATTGTGTATATTTAGCTAGTACAAAGCAATCTGAATATCTAACATCGACTTTGTTTTGTTAACACTCGCCATGACGACAAAGCTCAACACAAAGATACATGTACAATTGATAAAAAGAGTTAAAATTTGGTTACCTTTCTCATTTTTCAAAACTTTAAACCCATCTGCATGATCATGTCCGAAGTGCATAGCGACGATAATATCTGTGAATTCCCGTAGAACCGAGACAAGAGGTTCGTGGTAGACCAAATGCATCCAAATAACACCGTCGGGTGTGTATACACCTGGGGGAATATGAGCTGTTACCAACACCTGTGTGATTGTAAAGACATGGAAATTAAACTTGCTTTTCATTGTTTTCTACTTGATTAATTTCTTAAGGAATTCACCAAACGTTGTTTCATTGAAATGACTCACAAAAATAAACGAAATAAAATATGTATCCGGGTAATAAAATATTACGTGTCAACAGGCGTCTATCTTGAAATTGAACACTTTTATCGGCAAAAAAAAATGGCACCGATATATGGGAGACAGTTTACAAGACAGCCTTAAAATAACAATACACATGTATATATAAATATGTTTTCTTTTTCTATCCCGGTAAAATTCGCCAAAAAAAAAATCGATTTTGAAATCATTATGGTGACGCGTTGTCGGACTTTTGTCTTGTCGTCCTGTCTCTTACGATGCACGCCAAATGGCGCGATGTCGTGCGGCTTGTTGTCGTGATGTCACATTGTCGCTCGGTAGTGACCAAACAACGCGCCGAACACCTATGAATCAGCCATCATAAAAATACATCACAACTTGACTTACTTACAAAATTTACCAGAACTAGAAGAACCTTCTATGTTATTGTATCTTTTAAGTTCAGTTCAGAATCTTAATTCTTTATATCCTTGGCAATCACATTATTTGACATTATGCTCGTTTTTTTTTTCATTGTAATGTTAAACTGACTTGACTAAATATTTCAAACGAAGGACTGTTATTATGGTAATTGACCAACAATTGATTTTGGAAAATATGACGGATAAAGTATTTATCAGCCTTAAATATTTTAAAGACTGTTCCACTCTTTTTTATAAATTGAACGTTACATGTAAATTCTGATGGATATTTACAGGAACTACCTTGAACCACGGGAGTTATTAATCGTTCGTGCGGGGTTAATTATAAAATTGAAAGGAGTTATGGCAAAATGTTAACTTATTTTGACTTTCACTTGTTCATTCACTATCACTATATAATGTCCTTGGATGGGCAAAATGTCACTTTGAACAGTGAGTTATGGTTTTTATCGCATTGATAAGTTCCAGAATATCGCCGAACAGCATAATAGCTATAGGAAATACAAATATGAGTCATTGCCTTGCATTATCAACTACACTATTATAGTTGTTCTTTTAAAAGAAAATGTATACTTAGATGGTGACTAATTCGTCAAATGTTGTAAAGTTTTTTTTCAGGGGAAGTAACTTAAAATAGAAGAAAGGAAGAATCCTTAAAGAACGTGTATAATGTCAAAATTGAAAATGTTGAAGGCTTAATTTAATCAAACCTTATCTATAGGCAATGTAATGTTACCTTTTCCTTGTTTTGGCGAGCTTGTGCAAGAGTAGAATTAAGCCAGGCAATCTGGTCGGCTGGGTCTGTATAATTGAGTATAGCCTTGTTTGGTGTATAGTACAAATTAGTGTTCAAACCAACTATCCGGAGTCCATAACGTGTCTTTTGTGTATAGTACGCCCCTTAAGTAAATACAATAAAATGATAGATATACATGTAATTACATCCAATTAGAATTAAGAGATGTTGTTTGTACGCAATGTCTTTAAAAGTGTCTGAAATTAAATCGTTTTTAGGTCTGTAATAAATTTTACAAAAGTCTTGTTTAAATCATTATGTTCATTAAGTTATATAATTCTTTATGTATGTAAGAATACTTAAATCTAGAAAGGCTATGTCTTACAAGCTAAAAGCAGCTGGCCTCCATATTAGCGAAAATATTTAAAAAAATCAAACTTGAGAAACAGAATTTATGAGAAAAGTAAAATGATTTATGATTCAAGTAAAATTGTACTTGTTTTGTGCTATTATTGGCGAGATTTTTAATATATATCAACAATGCCCCTGCGTGACTAACGCTGTAAGGGTTGTTTTTGCATATTTTGACCTCTTTTCCACTTGTCGTTTACAATGTGAAAATTTCTTTCTTTGTTCACTTCAAAATATTTTTCATTTGAACACATTTTCAAAATGTTTTTGGAAATAATCATGAATGTGGAGGCATGGTGTTTTAAACGAAACCTTACAAATTGATTAACATTGTTATATGAAATTGGTGTTAAATCTTTGTATTTGTGAATAGACTGGATGGTTTATCAAATTAAATAGATTGTAAGTTCATTAAAACACGAAAACATAAAAACACAAATTAAATGGAAATGAAATACGTATGTTTGTACCATAGTTATTTTCTAATTTCTATTTTCATCACCCTACCTTTTCTGAAATTGTCTTGTTGAGAAAGGTCATTTAGCCATGACCCCCATCTGTCAAGGGTGTCGTTATACAGCAGATTATTGTAAGGTGGAAACTGGTTATATGGGAAGTAGTCATGGTTACCAAACGTCGCATACACATGTACATTTGGTAACGTTGTCTTAATGACGTCAGTAACGTTGTCAAGAATACCGGCGTAAATGTCATAACTAAGATCTTCGTTTTTGGCATGTAAAACTGTATCGCTAAGAAAGAAAACAGGAAACTTAATGAGAAAATGATTCGGCCTAGAGGCCTATTAAAATGGTTTATTAGGATTCTATCTCACAAATACTTATTTCAGAAATAATGTTATATAATAAACGGTGCCCTGTAATGATGATTGGCGTTCATTTGCGTAGAAATCTTTGATATGAAATAATTTTGAAAATAGGATCCTAAAATGTCACTAACTACAGAGACTTTTAATTTCTCAGGCTTTGTTTCATATCAACCATTGCAGTGGTTACGAAAATCCCGCTCTGCTCTCTTGCACTGACCTAATTAAAGGTCAACCTACCATGAAGAATTAAGTAACATCTTCTTCGATGGTCATGGATCTTTCAACGTTCGTACCAGTCGTACCATTCCATGACAAGAAATATCTTTAAAAACGATACTCGGCCGAAGTAAAAATTGTTAACTTGCATATGTTATTTCTAAGCCTTCGATACATATAGAAATGTTAGCAATGCTTATATTACAATGACATAATAATTTCTTGTCGGTTAGAAGAATACAAAAACATATTGAAACATAAAAATTAGATTATAAGCATATTGATGTCTCATCAAAGTAGGACAATTTCTATTTATCAGTATTTATTTAAGTGTCACTATTACTTGTTTTTACGTTTGACTTTATAAATTTTATAATCATATGCCATACTGACAGTATTATTTAAAGAATCACATATGAAATATTGCAAATAGAAATAAAAAAGATAATAAGTTCTGATATTATAAACATTATATCAACTGCACAGATTTACTTATTGGACATCATAACCTGAGGGTACCTGATAAGTTCTTATATATTGTGTGTTTTTCGATATTTTCATGTATAAGTAATTGTATAAAATATACTTAGTAATTTTTCATGTAAATAAACTGAGATTCATTTATTGGACATGATGAGATCAAAACGCAGTGTAAAATTTTTTGTTGAAGGGAGTACTGTTATATCGCAGCAACTTAACTAGAACGTGAAAGAACTATCCAGTACATATTTTATTTCAGCACTATCCTTTACATTTTTATAATGGCAAGAACTATCATGTACATTTGTACATCTTATTTTAGAACTATACATAACATTCATTTTTAGAATGGCAAGAACTGCCCATTATTTTAGCCAATAAGGTTCCTAGATATCAATTTGTAATTTAAAATGACCAATAAAAATTCTTCTTATATTCAGTTCTTTCCTGCAAGTTTTACAGGAAGTTTAACTGAATTCAGATGGATTCCGGCCAAAAAGAGGCATTTATAATTAATTAGCACCCAATTAAAACCACAAAAATGCAAAGCAAGTTTTAAAATTTTAATGTTGCTTTAAAAAACTATACAATTTATGAATTTATTAAACTTACCCCGTCCAAAGGACAAAATCAACATCAGATTTGATGTCAGCCATTGCCCGAACGCTGCTGTTTACAAGTAACCATGGTGAGTCACACCAGAAATCGCCAAACTGACCAACGTTGTCCGGTACATTCTTCTTATTGCAGGATAGTTGTCGACCGTGATAAGTAAAGTCATAATGAAAGTCGGTTACATGCCAGAAATAACCTTAAATATGAAAGTAGGCAAAGCCAATTAACGGGGAAGTCAGATAAAAAAATCGTTATTTTCTATTTTACATTTTCCGCTTTAAAAATGTCATTCGGTATTTTATGCACTGCTTCCGTTTAATATGGTTCTCTGTCCTATAATGGTTCCCATAGAAATGCGCAGGTGACCATTTCAGTCAGAATTTTTCGGGTTTTTTTGTTACTTTGTAAGTATAAAAGTTGCGATTGTTCCATAACCGGATACCCCGCCGATTATCATTGCGTTACGGCTCCCAAGAAGAAATGATAATGAAAATTTCACTGAAAGGTATAGAATTCTATTTTTAAAAATTGTATTTCTTTTTTAATATACACGTGTAGTCTTTAGCCAGGCATGCCAAATTTCCAGTAATAGCGAGCTCGGAAGTACTGAACTGACACATCGCAACTAATGAATTTCAAGATTACGATAAAAACCGAGGTAATCTGATTGAAAACGGAAGAGTAGACTGCCCATTGATATGGGAACCATAATTGGACAGGGAACCAGAATAAATGGAAGCAGTGTATAAAATACCGAGAATGACAATTTTAAAACGGAAAATGTAAAATAAAAATGAACGATTATTTTTACCATTTCACGGTAAAAGTAAATCGAGCTCGCTTTGAGGCTTTGCCTTTTTCATATTATAATATGAAATTAGGCAAAGCCTTACTTTACATTTTCCGTTTTATAAGTGGCAATCGGTATTCCAAGCACCGCTTTTCACTTGAAACGTTTATTATTAAGTCGAAAAGTTGCGATTGTTTCGTTATCGTAATACACCCGCCTATTACCATTGAGTTACATTGCTTTTGGAATCAGTAAAAAGGTTGTTAAGATTCCTAAAACTTCACAGAATACTACATTCTTCAGTCGTAATTAAAATGGTCTGTCTTATCGCCGCATTCGGAACATCCTTGCTGATTACCCTATATCTTCATTGTCCAAAGTTTGACGGAAAGGGTCGAAGAGTTGCGATCGGTTGTATCGTAGTTTAATTAATGTAGGGTAGTTGCACCGATTAAGATAGCAACTAAATTATTTGTAATTCTTAAATATCACTTAACAAAAGTCTTTGCTTGTTTATTCAAATATGAAATAAATGGTGGCCATACTTTTTAACCTATGAATATTAAATTTAAAGAAATACAATTGAGTTTTCTTTGGATATTTTTAATTAGATTTAAAACAACAAAATTGTTTCTGTGACTATTGAAGCTTCAACAGTGACCGGTCTTTAAAAAGAAACATGCACTTTTTTGTCCTGTAAATGCTAAAAGACTGTGCTTTTTGGGATGAAAATGGAAATACAAGAATCTCTAAATAACACCCGAAACAGAAAAAAATATGCTGGTTTTGTTTGATAGACGCAAGCTACCTTCCAAATTCCCTAGCACCGGCTTAAGAGAGAATGCAATATTTGAACATGATAATGGCGAGATTTTAAATGTCAGACGTCCTAAAGTAATAATTAAATCCACATGTGTGAATTTAAGTAAAACTAGTTTACAAAACATTTTTTTTGGTTGTAAATAGCATTAATGTTACATTAGAATATAGAATTTTAAAAACATTTACCTGTGTCAGAAATAACCATCTGTAAAAACGTATAAAGTGAACACACAATGTGGAATCCCTTCTTCATTTTTCCTTTCGCGTGAGTAACAAATAATTAAAGGATAAATAACTATCAGATAAACGAAGGCCTTGATGAAAGTTTTCAACTGGTTTACCTCGTACTATGATCTAAGTTGGAAATTTAAATGTCTAATATATTAAAGGCCGAGGAAAGAGAGCGGAATTTTGTTCAAGATAACGAAAAACTGAGTTAAGCGATGTAAATTAACGACAATTGATTATATATACGTAATAAGTGATTTCGAGTAACACAGTTTGACTTTATGTACGTGATTATTACGTAAGTATAGTCAAATGGCGGCTGACGACACTTTTTGAGCGGTTAAGTATTCGCCATTGCAAGTACATTTTACAAATAAATCGAAAAGGGATATTGCAAATTAATTGTCTGTCCCTCCTTCCACAGCAATATTTAAGAAATAATACATGGTATGAATGCATATATCGTAAATGTTGCTCATTAAGGGTCATGCTAATGCATTATTGAGTTATGGCCCTTTGTTAGTAAAGGCATCAATTAACATTAAACGTTCTATCTGGAGCCATCATTTTTTTATCTTGAGCCAGATGTTAAAACTGGTCAGTTTGATTTTCATAAATTTCAAATGAATTTACATGTATATATAAAAACACGTTTCATATCAAATTCAATCAAGATGCATCTTTGGGTTGCGAAATTTTACTTTTTTTCTTTATTAATTTGTATGATAGAATGGAAATAGATTTTTAAATCACAATCTAAATCATTTATCATGCGTTGTAGTATAATAATACACGGTTTATCGTGATAATATTCCTGCACATTTGCACTTAAAATTTAAATCCATTTCCTAATTATAAAATACGTTAAACAAGGACCCATCAACTAGAAAAAGTGTCAAGGAGCCTAGGAGGACCCTAAAAGTTTGCTCAATTTGTTTAAATCATCACATGATTTTATCAACTGCATGTATATGATTGAAATATTTTTGGTTAAATGTTGCTTTTATTATGTTATACATTTTCAAAATATGCCGTTGCCGGATTATGTTTTGTCATTATGTAAATTATAATCCTACAACTATGAAATAAGAGAGTTGTAAAGTGTCTTTAATTTATTTGGCTATGAATCGGGCAAATATACAGCTTTCTCAGTATTCAATTAACAAATGTCAAGTATGCAGATTTTATAATCTATATGTGAAGCAAGGTTCCTAGTTTCAAAAAGTGGCCTTCCAATTTGATTTAGAATTAATCACTAATTCAACATTACACAGAGAACAACAAGTTTGATTAAGATATATACAACGGCATTTGAAAGCGTAGATGAGTTGAAAACAATTACTCTTTGGGCATGATTTGAAATTATCCATATCAAATTTTCTGTGAAAAGCCACAAATAATAGAAGTATGACTTTCCTCGTTGCAAAAGCCTCGGAAAGATTATCCGGGGGGAGTAAACTCTGGGTTAAAAACTTCCAATAATTTTTAAACTCCGTTACTCGAATGCTTCCTTCATTTTCTCTGGCAAGGGATAAGAGTAAGTCCACTGAGTGAGCTTTGTTAAAAGTCCGCGGAGTGTGGAAGGTCTTGTATTCTAACTCCCACATGGCGACGCCTTTTTTGTTTGCCTTTAAGAGGTCAAGGTAATATTGTTTAATTTCAAGATGGACGCCTGTTGACCTGTCGTATTTTATTAGTCGAATGCCCGGATTATGTGCGGGACCCATACGTGACGGATTAAAGTACCTCCAGGGAGTGACTGACGGGGCAAAAAAAAATAGGAGCAGCTGATCCATCTATTAAAATAAATGACCAAGCTTAGAAAAAAAAAAGCGATAACCGTTTTCACACATTTATCTAAATATTTAGTCGTCTGTTGGTATCTGAAATTGTATAAACATCTAAAGGGATGAATTAATCTTGATGATAATTATTAAGTTTGGTTTATTAGCACTTATTAGCACTTTATAATATTAAACTGGAAATGAACGATTCAAATAGTTCTTAAAATGCTTTGAACAATCAAAACGGCTAGCATTGGTGCCAAATTTTATAACAGTAAGTTTGCGATTCAATAAATATAGCAATGTCCAAAATGCATGGCGACGATAATATCTGTGAATTCCCGTAGAACCGAGACAAGAGGTTCGTTGTAGACCAAATGCATCCAAACCAAACCCTCGGGTGTGTATATACCTGGGGGAATATGAGCTGTTACCAACACCTGTATGATTGTAAAGAATCATAAAGTTGACAAAAAGAAACTTGTTTTGGCGTTATCCTCCTCATTTTAGAATCTTCTAAAGAAATCAAATCTACCAAGGAAATCAATCTCGTCCTTAAATTACAGAATATCACCGAAGATCATAAATAACCCTAGATCCTTGTAAAAAAAACACATTTGTGTCAAACGCCCTTTTATATCTTAGATTTTGTTTAGTTTTTGTATGGGAAAAATTTTGAAAAATTTAATAACATAGTTTAATTTTTTCGAAAATTTTTTTAACATTTTTATTCTTTTTAATTCATTCCTTAATTTTTATGTCACCCAGGTTTTGTAAAATTTTAAAAAGTATCTTTTTAAAAATTACAGATACCTTTTCTTTGCTTTTTCTAGCTTCTGCCAGAGTAGAATTTAACCAGCCTATCTGATCGGCGGGATCTGTATAATTGAGTATAGCCTTGTTGGATGTGTAGTACAAATTTGTGTTCAAAGCAACTATCCTGAGTCCATACCTTGTCTTTTTAGTATAATACGCCCCTTAAACAAATACCAAAATTATGTCATATATAAAATTAGATCCAATTAGGAAGCCAGGCTCTCTGTTCGACTGGGTTTTAAAGACTCTGGCAATGATTTCAGAACTTTCGTCCCATATAAACTTTACACGAAAGTCCAACTTTTCAACATTCATGTTGAATTGTTTAACACCTGCGTTTAAAATAAAGAATATGTCCAAATATTAATTATTATGCATCAAACTAGAACATTTCTTTAATTGATAACACAGACTAAAACGTGTATTACTGACGTCATATGTTTGCGTTGATATTCATACTTTAATTCTAGCAGAATATTTGGATCATTGTCGATTTACACATTTTGCCATATGAAAATATAATTTTTTTATAGGAAAGACTTATCAAATCTAAGTCGTAATGTTTTATTATTTTTATAGTTCATAAAAACGAAAGAAAATAATGAAAAAGATAAAAGTCTTAAAAGTATTTAAACGACAAATAATAAAACATCTGCAAGGCAAATACCCTGTCGGTAGACAAAGGTTTTGGTTGTTGCCAAGATGTGTTGCCCTAAAATGTCTCACTTTAGGAAAAACTGATACTGTTGTTATGAAGAAGTTATTGTTCTTTAAACGGTCGCCCTGCGAAAGTTACCCTGAACGTTATACAATACTACAAATAAGCATCACACCTTTTCTGAAATTATCGTGCTGAGAAGGGTCATCAAGCCATGACCCCCATCTGTTAAGGGTATCATTGTAAAGCAGATTGTTGTTAGGTGGAAATTGGTTATTTGGAAAGTAATCGTGGTTACCAAACGTAGCATACACGACACGGGCACACCTGGTAACGTTGTTTTGATGACTTTAGTAACGTTGTCAAGAATACCGGCGTTAATGTCATAACTAAGATCTTCATTCTTTCCATGTAAAACTGTATCTCTAGGAAAGAAAGAAGAAAACGAATCATGAAATGCAGCCCAAATACAGCCAAAAGAAATATTTTGTGTGATCGATCTGATTGAGCTTGTGATGGTCAAAAGTGTTATATGCAAGCTATCTTTTTATGCTCAACAAGCACCGACTTAACCAACAAACAATATAAAACTCAGAAACATCTGCAGATGTGTTCAGTCCATATGGCATATCCATGGAACTTTCAAAATACGAAAACTATGACCAACATGGAAGTGTGCCATTAAAAGAACGTATCCACAAAAACGATGAAACGAGGCAGTTCTCCTATTTTATTAAACAACAAAACGTGTATAATATAAGTTTTTATTTGTTTGGGTCGTCAGACCAAACAAATAATAGTAGCGAAATTTCAGACCCTGATACGCTTATTTACAAAAACCGAAAGTAGTCTGAACCCCTAGAAGCGGTTACTTCCCTTTATATGAAAAACTAAGGGAAGATCAATGTGTAAAGTTTGTCAAATGACAGGCGCATTAATTTTCAAGCCTTCATGGGAAAGAAAAAATTGTTCCCGATTGGCCGAAGATTTCTAATATTGTGTAATTCTTTACCGATATACATGCTTATATTAAGCTCCATGATTATTAACAACATGTTTACTGTGAACAAAATATCTCGAAATTAAAATGGGTTACAAACCTTGATTTAGAATAAAGTGGTTTTCTTCAGGCCATTATTTTATACTAGTAACTTCCCCGTGGTCGAGGAGTTACACACTCGCTTAGGAAGCGAGAGGTCTGGAGTCCAAACCCTAGTTAAGGCAACTCACGTTAGCCAAATAAACATGGCATTAGCCTTATAGCCAATTTACTACAGTTACAACACTGTAAACAGCATTGGTGGCACTATACAAAAACAAATTCGTTTATAATCTCACAACCCTCACCCTTCTGAGACCCAAACAAATTCAGCGCCATCTGTGCCTTGATTGGATTATTACGCTATTAACAATTTTTACAGTTAATGACACTTACCCCGTCCAAAGGACAAAATCAACAACAGATTTGATGTCAGCCATTGCTCGAACGCTGCTGTTTACAAGTAACCATGGTGAGTCACACCAGAAATCGCCAAACTGACCCACGTTGTCTGGTACATTTGTCTAATTGCAGGATAGATGTCGATCGTGATAAGTAAAGTCATAATGAATATCGGTTATATGTCAGAAATAACCTAAAATAGTAGATATATAGTTATCGACCGTGATAAAGTGTATGTGTATGATCACGTGACATGGTTTACCCGCGTATTGTTTAACCTCTGATAAGTCAAAGAATTCAATGTTGTAGAAATAAATATGTAATGTAAGCGTGGACATATATACGATAATAGTAAGACGTGGTAAATCACAATAAAAATGGACACACCAAACAAAGGAAAACGGCGGCCATAATAATTTTCGTGATCCTGAAGACACACGGCAAAAATTTAAGATAAATTCAACTGGCGGTATCTCATACTTTTACAGACAGGCATCATGCGGGTATAGCACCCCCTTCTACATATTTGTGAGACAACTTCACAAGTAAATATTTTAGCCATTTAAAATGAAAGGAAGCTTTTTTTCTTTTTGGTTTCCGGTTGTTTACTGACTTTTACTGACCAGGAACCCCGTTTATATCCAAATAAAAATTTTGCTTGTGTGGCCATCTTTTAAACGAACGCTCGCCCTTGAAAATTATTATTTAGCGAAAAGGTAAAAAAACAACAACAAAAAGAACGGAAATATAAACTGTATACTTTAAATATATACATGTATACATAAATTGATAGATTTTAGTAAATGACCTTTGTTTTGTAAAACTCTTTCGTGTAATTAGATTATTCAGACTAACAGCTGTAAATGTGTTTATTTTTTATTCTCTTGCTTCTTTAACCTCAAGCTCCATTTTGTCTGGAATGAATCCGGTGCTTTAACTCAAAATCAGTTGGACACGGGGAATATTCCAAATCAGCCAAGATCGATTGCACACCGCGTTATTGCATTTGGAAAACCATTCTGGTTACCCTTTATCACCATTATCCGAAGATAAATGGACATTGGACTTATCGTAGTTTAATTTATTTGCTAAGAAGGATTGTTGCACTGATCAAGATATGGCAACTAAATTATTTGTATTTCTTAAACATCATTTAAAGAAAGTATTAAAATTCTGCTTCTTCATACAAATATCAAACGAACGGTAGACGTGATTTTCAACCTATGAATATTAAAGCAGCCTTCAGTTTTTATTTTGTGTTTTGTGCTGTTTCAAACTAAGTATTTCACTAATATTACCAAGGAAAAGTGCATCATATCACTTCTTTACTTTCTTTAAAACAGCGCCCCGAGAGCTATTTATAGCGCGCAGCGGCGACGTTCATTTCGGGGTCTTTACTTATTTATATATGGAGAGCGGATCGGTAGGTTAGATGTATTGAGGGGTTTATTTATTGTTTATTTATTCTATCGACGACATTTTTCATTTTATACCATTTATATTCTTTTGATTTGGGAATTATATGAAACGATTTATCTTATTTTTTCCCAATAGTAAGGCCACGTTTTTAGTTTTGTGAAAGTAACATCAGAATTCAAATCATTTGCCGACTATTTTTGTTTTCAGATGATGAGATTCTATCCTGTAGTGATATTACAGTTTTTCACAAGATGTGATATAATACTTGCCATTAAATATCTTAATATAAACATATGTATATTTAAATGAGTAGTCTACTTGTTATAAAGGGAAGTAAATCTCTCAGATTTTGAATAAATTATTGTTGCTAAAAATGTTAAAAAAACAACACAGGACAGGACTATATATGATTTGGAACATAATGAAAGATGTTATTAAATTATGGTTGGAAATAAAATTCTGATTTGATTTTGTTTTTATTATGTATACAATTTTAAATTGTGCTATTTCCGAATTATTGTCTTTTTATTATTATGTAGATTATGTATAATGCTCTGGCTATGAATATATGAAACGGTTTAGTTGCGAGGATACAACATTGGCTTGGGCGACAACGAGGGGTGCTTCTTCTGTAAAGGGAGACACAGGCGAAATTTTCATTTCTTCGTTTTAAAATTCACATTCATTATTCTGTAAATGTCCTAAAAATAAATACGCTAGGCAGTTACAGTAACAAAACTTTTCTCTTTATAAAGAATGAAATGGTTGTTTCCTAACTTGACCCACGTGGGTCAGGTTAGAGCGTTAAGATTATCAATATTTGTCACAGTGAACTCTGGAAACGTTAAAGGTAGAACATGTCGAATGAATTACTTAGACTTGTTTCAATCATACAATATCAATAATATCTGTTATTTAACTTCAGGTTCTTTTTTCAAGTCACATGTCTTGTTTTAAAACTACTCGGTGATTCTGTTGGCCTCTTAATTTCGTTCAACAAATATGGATATATTTAAGCTTTAAACCCAAAATATATAGACTTTATACAGAAATTCATACTGGGACTTTACAAAATGTCATTTTAGCGTGGTTTGAGTACATAAGATCATTTTTATATTTTGTCATTAATTTGCCTAAGTATCCCTTAAAAAAGACTGTACCCTATTCAGTTTTCGGAATTACATATTGTATTACTTCTGCTTTAAAAAGTACCCCTTTCAGTTTGGACTTATATAACGTATTACTTTTTCATTGGTAATAACTCTTTCAGTGGATAAACCCTTCAATTTTATGTCTTGTGTAATGTATTATTTAATGGTAACATTTTGTTGTGAATTTTACAATAGGACTATAACATAATTGTGGTCAAAGTTTCATCTCAATAATCTATGATTTTTCCTACTCGGATTATGATACCTCTATCCCATTCCAACCTCTGTAAAAACTAAACTGATATAACGCAGGAGAAAAAACAACAACAAGAAGAAATAAACAAAGTCAACTGTAATATAGCTCTTCTTATGAATCAAGGAAGAGCATTGTTATCAATACAATTTTCAAATCCTCATTGAAAGTTTACTGAATACATTAGGTTAGAAAACATCCAAAAACCATGCAATAAGAAGTTGTATTGTGTCCTTACTTTATTTAGATATTATTCAAGCAAATATACAGCTTTCTCAGTTTTCAATGTATATAGGGATGCCAAGTATGCAAATTGTATAATCTATGTGTGAAGCAAGGTTCCCGGTTTCAAAAGGTTGTCTTCCAAATTTGATTTAGAATTGAGCACTAATTCAACAATACCCAGAGAAAAACCAGTTTGATTAAGAAATAAACAACGGCAATTGAAAGTCTAGATGCAGTTGAAACCATACTGGCTTTGCATGATTTGAAATTATCCATATCAAATTCCGTGAAGCCACAAATAACAGATGAATGACAATCCTCATTACAAGCCTCGGCAAGATTATCAGGGGGAGTAACTGTATAAAAGTTCCAATAATTCTTAAACTCCTTACTCGATGCTTTCTTCATTCTCTCTGCAAGACTAGATAAATCAGCTGCAGTGAGCTTGTTAAGGCCGTAGTGTGAACTGGTCTTGTATTCTAACTCCCAATTTGCGGCGCCATTTTTGTTTGCCTTTAAAAGGTCTAGGTAATGTTGTTCAATTTCAAGATGGATGCCTGTTGATCTGTCGTACTTTACTAGCCGGATGCCCGGATTATGTGCGGGACTATATGTGACGGAAAACATACCTCCAGGGAGTGACTGGCGGGGCAATAAAAATAGGAGCAGCTATCCATCTATGAAAATAAATTGGCAAGCTTTTAGTAAAAAAGCAGAACCGGTAATATTTGAAATACATCAGTTTATTTTGAATATTAGTAGGTTTTTTTGTGACTGAAATTCTATTTATCAACATCAAAAGAGATTTATTAATCTTGATTAAATTTGTTGTTATGCACCGTAGTTATTAACACTGTATATTCAAATAGTAAGGATCGATGAAAATAGTAAATAAAATAATTGTCTTCATCTATGGCATTGGAGCCAAATTTTATGTCAAGAATTATGCGTTTCAATAAATTTAGGGAAAATGTTTACCTTTATCATTTTTCAAAATTTTAAACCCATCTGCATGATCATGTCCGAAGTGCCATGGCGACGATAATGTCTGTGAAGCCCGTAGAACCGAGACAAGAGGTTCGTGTAAACAAATGCATCAAACAAACGTTTGGGGTGTGTGTACCCCTGGGGGGAATATGAGCTGTTACCAACACCTGTTGATTGTAAAGAAAAAAAAATAAAAAAAAAAAAAAAAAAAAAAAAAAAAAAAAAAAAAAAAAAAAAAAAAAAAAAAAAAAAAAAAAAAAAAAAATGAATAATAAAGTTGACAAAGAAATGCTTTTTTGCGTTTTTCTCATCGTTTTAGAAATCTTCTCACGAAATCAATCTCGTCCGTAAATTTTAGAATATCACCTCTAGACCATAAATTGCCCAAGATCGTTATAAAAAGACCTTTGCGTCATTTCCTTTCGTTATGATAGAGCTATTTAGTTTGTTTTATGTGTAACAAAGTTGAATCTATTTGAAGTGTTAAACATTTTTATGTTCATGTTAACAGACAAACTTATGAGACATAAAGGGATGTTACTTTAAAACCCTGGACAATGTATCGGTATATAATTACAGTTACCTTTTCCTTGTTTGTTTTAGCTTGTGTAAGAGTAGAATTTAGCCAGGCTATCTGGTCGGCGGGGTCTGTATAATTGAGTATAGCCTTGTTGGATGTGTAGTACAAGTTAGTGTTCAAAGCAACTATCCTGAGTCCATAACGTGTCTTTTTAGTATAGTACGCCCCTTAAATAAATATGATAGTTATGTCATAAATGTAATCATATCCAATTAGGAAGCCAGACTCTCTGTTGGACTTTTTAAAGTGTCTGACCATGATCTCAGAAATTAACTCTTGACCTGTATATAAATTTACAAGAAAGCCCGGTTTTACAACACCTTATTTAAAGTACATTTGTACTATAACAGTTTTGTTCAAAATAAAGAATGTGTACTAATGTTAATTACTACGCGTTTAACTTAATTCACAATGTTATGCCTTAATATGTTTTCGCTTATAAGAACTTATATGAGATTCACACTTTTATTCTATCGCAATATTTTGATCCTTGTTGATAACCACATTTTTGCCATAAGCAGATATAGTTTGTTATATAAATGAGTTGTCAATCCTGTTTGTTAGTAATCGCAATGCTTTATTAAATTTCATAGTTCATAAAAAACGAAAACATTAAAGAAAAAGTTTAAAATTCTTTATAGGTATTATTTTTATAACATCTGCAAACAAAGAGTTTGGTTGTCTTCTTCAAGGGAAGTCTTAGTTTGGAAAGAACTGATGCCGTTGTTATAAAGACTTTTTTGCTTTTTATAGAGGGCCGTTCTGTAGAGGTTACGCTAAGCGTTAAATACATACTACAAATGAGCTTCTTACCTTTTCTGAAATTGTCATGCTGAGAAGGGTCATCAAGCCATGACTTCCATCTATTAAGGGTGTCGTTGTAGAGCAGATTGTTGTTAGGTGGAAATTGGTTATTTGGAAAGTAATCGTGGTTACCAAACGTAGCATACACGGGCACACCTGGTAACGTTGTTTTGATGACTTCAGTAACGTTTTCAAGAATACCGGCGTTAATGTCATAACTAAGATCTTCATTCTTTCCATGTAAAACTGTATCTCTAGAAAAGAAAGAATGAAAAAAAACAACATTTTAGGCCGCCCATTACAGTAAAATGGAATTTATGGGCGGAACGGTTTAATCTTTATCATGGCCAACAGTGGAATGCAAGCTACAAATCATGCTCAATAAGCACCGACTTAACACGAACTAATCACGTTAAAAAATATAAGACGTAGAAACATTTGCAGATGTGTTCATATGGCATTATTCATGGAACATTCAAAATATGAAAACAAAGACAAAAACAAAACGGATGGGTGACATTCAACGAGCGCATCCGCCAAAACCATGAAACGAGGCATTTCTTTCGTTAGGTGTTGGATAATGACTCAGTAAACGATTTTTACAGTCAATCAAACTTACCCGTCCAAAGGACAAAATCCACATCAGATTTGATGTCAGCCATTGCTCGAACGCTGCTGTTTACAAGTAACCATGGTGAGTCACACCAGAAATCGCCAAACTGACCCACGTTGTCAGGTACATTCGTCTTATTGCAGGATAGTTGTCGACCGTGATAAGTAAAGTCATAATGAAAGTCGGTTATATGCCAGAAATAACCTTAAATAAAAGGATAATATTAAATAGTTATCGACCATGATAAAAAGTATGAGTATGATTACCTGACATGGCTTACCCGTGCATTTTTACCTATGATATATCAAGGAATTTGTCGTTTTATATTTTATATATATTTGTGTAATAGGTCAACAAATAGGCTATAAATAAATCTCTGTTGGAAGTATGGACGTATAAGTAAGCAACATGATAGTAAAACGTGGTGGATGCAGACGGACAAACCCTATTGTAATATTGTGAATACACGCAAAAAGCAAAACAAAAGCAGTTCTTCGGAATCAGTTGGGGGTACGGTACGGATCAATCATCATTGATCTCATGTAACTACAAAAGCAATATAATTAAAACAGAGCAATTTAAGACCATGAATACAGATGAATTTATTGGCTCTATTTGACATGATTTCTGCCGCATACACAGTAACAATGTGATAAATGAAAATAAAAAGACTCATTAATTAGATTATACATTACAGTACAAATGCATTAATTTAGAAGCAAGAAATCGTCGAACGAATTTGCTTTTCAGTGGCATTTACGTAAACACACTTCAACAAAAAAAACTGTGAAGTATCGGATATTTGCATGAACGTGGTTCACCGTTCAGATCTCGAGGCTCCCTCGCGGAAAATCAAATGCAAGCTCTTTTTTTAGAAAAGATGTTGAGCCGAAACTTTCAAACGCTTACCAGCTCCGGGGGTTATATTGTTATCTATACAGAGAATAACCTAATTAAATAAGAAAGGCCACTCTGGCCACTGTACAAAGAACTCGAGTCTTTAAACAGAAAAGGAACAGTTACTGTGCTTATTGAGTAATCCCGATAAATTAATAGTCAACGAGGAATTCCCAGAGTGGAGAGACGTTATAAGCCAACTGATTAATTAAGACGCTGAAACAATTTTATTGATCAAAATTTACATATGGAAAACTTAAATATTTCTATTTAAAGTGGATATTGAAGGGATGCAGGTTCAATACTGAAATTGTTAAACGAGTTGAGCTACATTGTATTATGCGAGCTCATGGCGAGTATGATATTATTTTAGTCAACGAGTTCAATAAGTTTAATAAGAAACCTGCACGAAAATAATATTCAATCTTCATATACCAAATATTAAAACTGTTTTCATTACGAAATCACTTTTTCATTGATGCGCTTATAGTGTAATGCCAACATATAGCGCGTCTATAGACTTACTTTATGTCGTTAGTTGTTAAGTTCAAATATAGAGTAGGTTAATGTTTTATGATTTAAAACAACAAGTATAAAATTATAAAACTAGAGAAAAACAGAATCTCTCAAGAGAACCAAACGTGGCATAATTGAAAATGTTGTAGTGTAGATTCCATGACCATTTTTCTAATCTTTTCTCAAATTTGTCTCGTGCCGTTTTATACTCAGGTCTCTTGAATGACTTGTGAACTCAGAGATTTGAAAGCTTGCATCATTGTCCTTTGTCTGATATTGTACGTTATACTTGAAGCACTAATGATTTTGAAGTTGATCTTAAATTGTTTATGTTGCTATATGCTGATAACACGACTATTTTATCAGAAAGTTCTAATGTGTTACAAAATGCATTATATGCAATATCTGATTACTGTTATACCGGTACTTGGGGTTTGAAAGTGAATACATTTTGTACTGCCAACAACAAAAAGTGTTGTGTTTTGTAAAAGTAAAAGGTGGCTCGAAAATATAATTCATCTCCAGTTTGAAGGTAACATATTCGAGATCGTTGTCTTTGTCTTGCCCGTCTCAATGGATTTTTGGATACAAGAAAATAAAATTGATCAAGCTTTAAAAGCGATGTTTTCTGCATACCAACAAAGTCTCGTGATTTTTCCTACCGATTGATTTGTAATTTAGTTTTTCTGGATAAGATGGTGACGCCTATTATTTAATTTTGGACCCAAAGTTTGGGGAATTTTAAAATGTATTCTAGATAATGATGCTACCAATTTAAATTTTAAATAACCTAATTTCATAAAAAAAAATAGTTTAAATTAGGTTTTATAAAAGGTAATTTTAAAAAATATCTTGAAAAGTATAAATGGGTTAGCCCAACTAAATTTCCCTTTTTTTGTTGCAAATTTTTAGATCTTAATTCCGGAAATTAAAAATTTTTCTAATGTCTAAACCATTCAAAAAAAAATTAAATTTTCCTTTTTTTAAATTTTTGTTTGGTTAAAAACTTATTTGGGTTCTCTTTTTTTGTTAAGTTTAAACATAATTCATGGCGGGGCCCAAAACCAAAAGGACACGGGGGTTGGAAACTCAAAAACGCCTTTAAAAATTCCAAAAAAAATGAAATTTTTTAACCCAAAGGAAATTTTCTTTATATATTTTATAAAAAAATTCTTAATAAAAAGCCGTTTTTAAAAAAAATCATATTTCAACATCTATAATAATACACAAGATAAAAATGTTCGCCGGAAAAAATCCGCACCCCTTACGTCATAATCACCATGTATTTTTAATCCATTTCCAATATTTTCACATAATCCTTTGGTCCATCGACACAGAAGATATAATTCTTCACGATGATGGTCAATTTTAAACTTCAACGGTAATATATACAACGCAACAGCCGAAATAAACATCAATATTCTCGTCGTTTTTTTTTCAACGACAAAAAACTTTCGATAAATTCAATGGACCAGACGGGCTATGAACGAAGCTATCCGATTTATGTGGCCCAGCTTTGCCGTGTGCAAAATGCGCAGCGCTTTTAAGTTTGGGAACCACATAATCGGATAGCTTCGTTCATAGCCGTGTGGGTCCATTGAATTTATCGAAAGGTTTTTGTCGTTGAAAAAAAACGACGAGAATATTGATGTTTATTTCGGCTGTTGCGTTGTTTATATTACCGTTGAAGTTTAAAATTTGACCATCCATCGTGAAGAATTATATCTTCTGTGTCGATGGACCAAAGGATTATGTGAAAATATTGGAAATGGATTAAAATACATGGTGATTATGACGGTAGGGGTGCGGATTTTTTCCGGCGAACATTTTTATCTTGTGTATTATTATAGATGTTGAAATATGATTTTTTTTCAAAACGGCATATATTAAGATTTTTCGATATGTATGATCAGTACATGTCCTGGGATTGACAAATATGCATTTTATTTGGATTTTAAAGGCGTTTTGAGCTCCAAACCCCAAGCGTCTGTGTGCAATACCATTTTATTTAGTCGCAAAAGTGGCACGGGTATGATAAAGTCTAACATAACTTTATCGATTCTCTTTCTATTACATATATCATGTACGAATGTAAATTGATATTTGCTTTAAATTAAGTTCAAATCCTCTTTAATGAATGAATTTACCACTTTTAACATGTTCATAATTTTTAACGGGCAGAATGGAACGATTGAATGAATTTGGTAATTTCGATTTGAGTTTTATTGTAGAGCTATAACATTGAGTTTTAAAATTTGCAGTGATAATATTTGACTTATTTCGCACAAGTATGATTTATATTTAGAAAATCTAACATGTACATCAGGTTCATTGTTTGTATTTCAGCGTTGTTATAAATTAAAGATAAGATTTACACCGTGTTAATTTTTTTAAGATTTTATTAAGCTTCACCTAACTATGCATTCTTCAATTGTAAAACGTCGGATTTCTTGTCACATTCGGAACACCCTCGCGTGAAATACTTGTTTCTTTATCGTTTTGTCGAAGTTTAACGGAAATAAACGAAAACTTCCCGATTGTCACTTTATCGTTGTTTTATGTGCAAAAATTCAAAGTGTTCAATGAAAGATAGTTGCAACGACAAGATTAGAAACAAAACTATTTACAATATTCTTAAAGATTTGTTCATAGACATCTACTATTGGATTTGACTCTTTATTTTAATATAAAATGAACTTAAAACTATTGTGTATGAACTATGAATATAACCTATTTTGTAATTTTTTCATTTGTTTTGTTTATGAAATGATTTAAAATGTTTTAATTTATATATTATTTTCTAGTCAAACCGACACTGTTAAGTTTTATGTGGTTACATTCAGCTTTAGTATAAGGGAATACATCAGTTGCCTGTCCTTTGAAATTAGTTCAGAACACAACAGAAATACCGACTTCAGGAAAGTTGCAAGAAGCTTTTTGCATGAAAAAGTCTCTGCAGGATTCGAACTTATAACGGTGTTTTATTTCATTTTATTTCATATTTGTTCCCTGCCAAAATGACAAATTACCTAAGAAAAGAAAAGAAATTGAAGCGTTTATCAAATCACATAGATTAACATTAGAAAAAGTTTTATTATATGTTTGCTTCACATGTAATGATTTATCCTGAACATAACCAGATGTGTTTAAATACATGTTACTAATTTTCTAATAATGTAGCGGGGTAAGTTGCAAGTAGCATTTACAGGTGTCATTATCCGGTCAGCTTACTTTACACATGACATAATTATATTTTAGGACACGAATTTAAAGGTATTTACTATATTCGACTTTATATTTATACGTTGTACAGAAATTTACATGATATAATATTTCTTTGAACATTGTAATAAAAAGTGAATTCCATAAATAATATACCTGTGTCTGAAATAACCACCTGTAGTGAAGTAAAAAATACACAAAGAAAACACAAGACATAAATTCCCTTCTCCATCTTTTCCTTTGAGAATAACTAACCTCTCATTCGGAAGATAAACAAATGTCAGGTAAACGAAGATATGGTGGCTGATTTCGGCCATTTCGTGTCTTCGTCCCTCAAATGTCGAAGGCGAAGACACGAAGCCACTATAATATGCCCGCTAATGCAGCATTTGAGGGCAACGTCACAACGACATGACGTATTTTAGTCAAAATAATGATACAATGTATTTTAATAGGCGAAGACACGACAATTATCATGTCGACGGGAAGAAATCAGTTTATCGGCGCCCTAAATTTGTTGTGTCGTCGTCTCAAAATGCGGAAAACGAACATACGATAGTTGGTCAACGACGACGCGAAGACTCGATAAATTTGCAAAGTATCGTATTTTCGCCTTGTGCATTTTGAGGCGAAGACACAGCAAATATAGGGTTTTTACCCGCCGACACGATCATTTTACAGAAGCAGATCTCGTGTCTTCGCCTATTAAAATATCATTATTTTGCCTAGAAAAATGTATTGTGTCTTCTTGTAGGCGCCCTTAAATGTAATAGGCGAACACACGATTAGTGAGCATATTATCGTTGTTTTCGCCTTGACTTTTAAGAATCGGAGACGGAGACACGAAATGGCTGAAATCAGCCACCATACGAATGCCAGAGAACGTTTTACGTCCGATTTACAATAACAGGTGCAGACGACTACTGTGTATAGATAGGGGCAATTACTTTGAGGAACATTGAAAAATAAAAGATGAAATCGAGACATTATAGATATACGAGTACTATTACATACTTTTATGACGTCTTGAAATTCTATTCTATTCTAAACGCTTTCGGCATTGAAATGTTATGCGACTTCGTATAACATAAGAGCTTATTAAATGATGAATTATACAGAGATTGTCCGGTTGAACTATTGGCCACAGCCGAGAGCGTTTAAAATTCATATAGATAACAAATTGGTGTGTATTTCTATTTACGAATATAAAAATGTATCATAAGGACATTTTACATGAGATTGTTTTTCTGATTGAGGTTTATCTTATATAAAGGTGTATTTCATCGAGACCGCAAAATACGCAATCAACGAAGTGATTTAACCCAAAAGAACGGCACATTGTTTCCTTCTTGATATACATATTGTTAAACGCGTAAAGAAATAAAAAAAAATGAAATGAAATAAAAAAAAGGCAATCGGGCGTGTATTATTCTTAATACATACACACATTATTGGATCGTTTAGCACCAAAGTCATTTATACATAAAAATAGAGTTGTTCATCAACTCTGAATATTATGTACTAATTTTCATATCTATGAAATTATTTACACCAACACATGCGCATAAGCATGAATAGTATCATATTTAATCAAAGCACAGAAGGCGCTGAATTTGTTTGGGTCTCAGAATGTCAGAAAGGCGAAGGTTGTGAGATTATAAACCAGTTTGTTTTTGTATAGTGCCACCAATGCTTTCCAGTGTTTTAACTGTAGTAAATTGGCTAAAAGACTAATTGCAACACTGATAGTTAATTCAATGTTTATTTGACTTAAAAAAATTATAACAAAAAATGAGTTGCCTCAACCGGGTTTTGAACTCTAGGCCTCTCAATTCAAAAGCGAGAGTGCAAACCCCTCTGTCACGGTGAAGTTATATGTTAACGGCCAGAAGAAAACCATATTATTCTGAATTAGGGCTTGAAACTCTTATTGTTGTACTCTAAACCTGTTGTTTAACACAGATTTAAATAATCATGGTTACTGTAAGCATGTATATCTATAAAGAATGAAACAATATTAGAAATCTTAGACCATTCGGGAACTACTTTGCTTGAAAATTAATACGCCTGTCATATATATTTGACAATCTTTACGCATTGATCTCCCCTGAAGTTTTCGGCGTTAGTGTACATATAAAGGGAAGTAACCGCTTCCAAAAAAGTGGACTACTTTAGGCATTTGCAATGTACAGCATTAGGCTCTGAAATTTCATTACCATTATTTGTTTAGTCTGACGACCAAAACAAATAAAAAGGAATCAACATCTCAATGTCATAGCCTGTTATGTCTAGTGCCCCATTATTTTCATTATTTTAGATGAAGCTCCTATGAGTTTGTAACTCTTACACTGTATTATTCTTACACTGCATTATCATAACACTGTATTTTCGCTACACCTGATTATTCTTACACTGTAAAATCCTTACACTCTATTATCATAACACCGTATTATCCTTACACTGTATTATTCTTACATTGTATTATTCTTACACTGTATTATCCTTACACTGTATTATTCTTATACTGTATTATCCTTACACTGTATTATTCTTACACTGTATTATTCTTACACTGTATCATTCTTACATTGTATTATTCTTACACTGTATTATCCATACACTGTATTATTTTTACACTTTATTATTCTTACACTGTATTATTCATATACTGTATTATCCTTACACTGTATTATTTTTACACTGTATAATTCTTACACTGTAACATTCTTACATTGTATTATTCTTACTCTGTATTATTCTTACACTGTGTCATTCTTACATGTATTATCCTTACACTGTATGTATTATTTTAACACTGTATTATTCTTACACTGTAATATTCTTATATTGTATCATTATTACACTGTATTATCCTTACACTGTATTATCCTTACACTGTATCAATCTTACACTGTATTATGCTAACACTGTATTAACCTTACACTGTATTATTTTTACACTGTATTATCCTTACACTGTATTATTCCTACATTGTATTATTCTTACACTGTATTATCCTTACACTGTATTATTCTTATACTGTATTATCCTTACACTGTATTATTCTTACACTGTATTATTCTTACATTGTATTATTCTTACACTGTATTTTTCTTACACTGAGTCATTCTTACATTGTATTTTCCTTACACTGTATTATCCTTACACTGTATTATTTTTACACTGTATTATTCTTACACTGCATTATTCGTATATTGTATCATTCTTGCACTGTATTATTCTTACACTGTATAATTCTTACACTGTATCAATCTTACACTGTATTATTCTAACACTGTATTATCCTTACACTGTATTATCCTTACACTGTATTATTCTTACACTGTATTATTTTACATTGTATTATCCATACACTGTATTATTCTTACACTGTATCATTCTTACACTGTATCTTCGTTACACTGTATTATTATTATTATTACACTGTATTACTCTTATATTGTATCATTCTTACACTGCATTTTCCTTACACTGTATTTTTTACACTGTATTATTCTTACACTGTTTTATTCTTACGCTGCATTATCCTTACACTGTATTATTCTTACACTGTATTATTTTTACACTGTATTTTTCTTACACTGTATTATTCTCTAAATGTATTATTCTTACACTACATTATTCTTACACTGTATTATTCTTACACTGTATTATTCATAGAGATTACACATACATTTTTAGTTTCTTGTCTTGAATAGGGATATTACTTGTGATAACAAGGCCAATATGTTTTTCTTATCATGTTCAACCACATTACAACTTTGTTCTCTTGTTTCAAACATCTTTCTCGATAAATTCTAACAAATACACGTTGGCACCGCGTAGCCCTATTTGTGCTCTTAGACTCTTTTAGTACTTTCTTGACCTTTATTTCTTTTGACTTTGACATCTTAACTTAAATAATCTACACGCCACCAGTACTGACTGTGTTATAATACATTGCGTTAATTATTTACTTTATAGCCTAATGTGACGTCATATGCTCTAATTTCGATTTTCAAGGGGCGATGAATCTATACTGAAGAAAACGTAATGTTCTAGTTTTAGTTCTCTCCCTTGTTCGCTCTACTGTATTATTTAAAATGTTTTTTTACTATTCTAAAGGGACACCACAGAGGTCCAAAAGCTTAAAAAAAACTATAAAAAAATAATTTCTTACATAGCTCAAAATAAAACCATATGCAAAAAAATATTAAAAAATAGAAATCTAGACTTAAAAAATTGAAAATCATATTTGTGGTCTTATAAGCCCAATTTTAATGTAATCTTTGGTAATTTTTGCAGTTATAATAATTATTCAAGAAAAAAAGGAAGGGAGTGAATGATCTAAAATATTGCACACTTTAGCTATTGGTATAGATTAACATCATATGGAACATAAATCTCTCGAAAAAATATTTTCAGTCTTGTCATGTCAAAAACCCTGAGTGGAGTCCCTTTAAAATGTTGGTCCGGTATAATCAAAAATATAACACATGTCTCTCATTGTAATAATGCATAGTAGCACTCTTCAGATACACAGAACAGAACAGAACAGTACTATTTATATGAGCCGCGTCACGACAAAACCAATATAATGGGTTTGCGACCAGCATGGATCCAGACCAGCCTGCTCATCTGCGCAGTCTGATCAGGATCCATGCTGTTCGCAATCAGTTTCTCTACTTGTAATAAGGTTGGAAAGCCAAAAGTATGGATCCTGATCAGATTGCGCGGATGCGCAGGCTGGTCTGGATCCATGCTGGTCGCAAACGCACTATGTTGGTTTTGTCGTGACGCGGCTCATATCATCATATAACTAATAGCTGCACTCCAGTTAACGCACTGTGCATGTATATGTATACGATTTTATGGAACAGAATTAATGCATTTATTCTATCTTGCTTGATGACATTGGAACTTGCATTATGCTTAATTCCATCTTGCTTGATGACATTGGAACTTGCATTATGCTTGATTCCATCTTGCTTGATGACATTGGAACTTGCATTATGCTTAATTCCATCTTGCTACATGACATTAGAACTTGCATTATGATTTTTTCCATCTTGCTTTATGAAATTTAAACGTTGCATTATTCTGGATTCCATTTTTCATTATTTCATTCAAACATTTCATAGTGACCAATGTTTTCATTGAGTGATAACTATTAAACTGGAACAAGCCATTTGGAATACTAAAATGTTAACGTCATATACCTTTATGTATAAACTACCTTTCTTCATGCTCTAAACAAACTATTTACGGTTTAGTTTTTTTGTATTACTTTTATGTAGAAGTCATTTAAAATTGACTATTT